GAGTATGTACAATGACCTATTAGAAAACCATGTTAGAGAAAAATATGCAAATATTGGCACTTTTTCTTTAGTATTTTTAAAGATACTTTTTGGATAAATAACTTAAAAAGTTTGACTTACATTGTGGTTTACATATAATTTGATTATTTTTGATATGTTTAAACACTTTTTATCGAAATATGCATAATTTGTGATACAAATTATATGACAAAAGAGATATATCAGTTTTGCATAAAATCGGCGGCCATATTGGACGCCATCTTGTATTCTGAAAAGGTATGAACACGGAATTTGTTCAAGAATTGAATTTTTGTAAAGGAGAACCTTTGTACATGCTTAAGTGTAAGTTTCAGGTCAGTACAAAAAATTTCACTGAATGCACTACTTTGTACGTCAAATTTATAGGCGGCCATTTTGAAAATGGCGGCCATCTTGGATCAGCAGAGATATTTTTGGGCCGACTTCACTTTTGGAATCTCTATAGTCTAAAGATGATTTCCTAAAAGTTTCATGCTTGTATCACAATTTGCACTATTTTGACAGGAGAGACCTTATTTCCCGCTCCACTAATTTACGTAATGTACTTTTTCTCAAAGTAGCCAAGATCGAAAGAAAAAACACAACAGTTAACAATACACAAATGACAGTGCATTCAATCATAAAATCGGCCTCGCCAGACCAAACGAATAAATACTAAAATAGGTTAATGTATAGATATTCTGAATTCTAAATAAACACATATCCATACATCTGTCATAAATATCATTTCTAAATGGAGATTGTCTTAACAACTTTTAGATATAGAAACTGGTAGACACATAAATATTTGAGGTCTGAAAGATTAAGTACTTTTTACAATCTTAATGATGTAGAAGACAAATAAAATTTGGTTTCACGTATATTATCTATGCAACCGATAATAAGTTAGTTTCAAGTTCGTTGAACTCATCAATACTTTTTATTAATACGCCTGCGATTTAATTATTTGTTGTATTTTGCAGTAAACCATTCAATATAGAACCTGCTGTATCAAAATATATGCTAATTAAAAACCTTGGACTACATTTTAGTAGTATTGACCAGTTTCAGACGGTTTATCGCTCTAAAAAACTTACCATGAACTCACTTTTTTCTACTTTTTGTAATAATAAACAATCCAATATGTGTTGTTTACTGTTTAAGAATACACGTGTCAACATATAAATGTGCACATAAACATAAGTTACGCAAATTGTAATGTCTGGGCTATCACTGTTAACGTATTCTGGGTAATTTATTTGCTTGTATGGACAATTCAGTCTCGGAATCAACAAAGGGGGATGTCGTTTGTATACAAATAGGGTTTTGACTGTCTTAGCTTACAATCTAGATAAAATTACGAGGAGTGTAATTCTCGTGCTAAGGTAATTTGATTTTCGTAAAAATGGTCACTTCATTTTATGGAATAATATCTCAAGAACTAGTAGGTTATATTGTAACAATGTAAGAGGTCATAAAAATGTATTTCTTTCAATTGAATTTAAGTTTAGCTTTCTGTTTACACTTTCCAGATTTATAAATGTTTTGTACCTAAGGCAATTGATGAATATCGGTTAAACTGATGTGCTCATGTATAATACTCTGCCATTATAAATTTAGGTTATTTCTTTATCAAAACGGGTATTTTTTAAAAATAAATACAGATTCAAAATGAATAAAGGTCATCATTTGTATACGCTGCTCTTCATAAATTGAGGAAATAAAAGAATCCATCTTTTTAGATATTTACCATCTGTGAAATTTTATTTCTTCATCTTTTCCGTTTATTTTAATAATCTGATTTATGTCTTGTAAATTTGTTATTGATATCTTTTAACATAAACAAAATCTTGTTATAAGATCTGAATCCCAATCATATTATTTACTTGTTTCCATTCATTGCACTCTCAGAATCAATTGAAAACAACATTTACAATGTAGTTTAGCATAATCAAAGTCATAGTCTTTGTTAAACAAGAAACGTGTCGGTTAAGACACTGTCTGTAATTGTATGAAACTATCGAAGACATAATGGGCAGTTCTAAACGTACATCACAATAACGTTTCGACCATGTGCAATAACAATCGATACTGTCCATTTCAGCTATAAATTCAAGATATATCAAAAACGAATCGAAGTTTAATTTAAAATAGATAAATACAGAATCCCTAAAGAAAGCCCAACACGACAAAATTGAAAATGTTGCAGGCTCGGTTTGATTGAGCCTGTTCATGGACGGTGCTGGAAAGTGCAAGTTACCGTCCACGCCCCCTAGCACCGGCTTAAGCAGAATTCAACATTTAAACATGAAATAGTAAAATTTTGAATTTAGAAACATCCGCAGATGTGTTCATACGGCGGTTATCATGGAACCTTCAATGTGACACAGCAGTGCCATTCCATGAAAAGCGGCGTATGGTCCCCAATTAAAAAAATACGTGTGCCCTAAACGAGAAAACAATGGGCGGAACTAAATAAATGGAATTTTGAAAGGGGTTCAGAGGTTATGAAGCCTGCGTATCACAGATAAGACGTCAAAAGACAAATTTAAAAAGCAGGCAACATATCCTAAGGGTGATTCAACATTATTCAAGTAGGAATATTGGAACCACCCAACTAGAAAATGCCGAAAAATTGAAACTAAAAATACCACAAGCACAACAATAATGTCGTGCTGAACGATCTTCAAGGATCGAAAATATAACATCATTGATTAAATGTACGGGGAGACTTTCCACAGCCGCCACACGGCACAAACAACACGGATGTGATCATAAAATAGATAAATACAGAATCCTTAAAGAAAGCCCAACACGACAAAATTGAAAATGTTGCAGGCTCGGTTTGATTGAGCCTGTTCATGGACGGTGCTGGAAAGTGCAAGTTACCGTCCACGCCCCCTAGCACCGGCTTAAGCAGAATTCGTTTTAAACTGTAACCTATTACATTGTGTGTGCGTGCGTACGTGCGTGCGCTCTTGTGTGTGTTAATTAGTGTTTATACAAAAAAAACTAGTACAATCAATTATTGAACAAATAACATTGAAACTTTCCTGTAATTAAAGAAATGATTATCAATTGAGTTTTTAAGTCTAATTAAATTTTTGAAACTATAGTTTAAGAATTGAGAAATAATTGAATTCTATGGCACTTTGAAATTCCAAAAATAATTTCAATTACTGTTGATTACAACGAGTGTGCAATTAAATAACAATTATACAAAGTTAAATTTAAATTAAATTTTGTCATATTTGTAAAAAGTAGTCAGGTATTTTTACTTGTCCACATTAGTGTCGAGACTTTGGGAATTTGGCCTTACAGTGTTGATTTTTTCAGGGTTGTAGTAGGGGTCCAGGGGCAGATAGGGGTGGGTGTCCAAACACCGATATTGCCACCTGTGCGACAAAGTCGAAAGTTACCTCCCTTATGTAAACAACATACCCAGCATTTTCTCAATCGCAACTACTCGCCCCTTTCCGTCAGTCTTCGGATAATATTATAGATAATAGCCGAGGCAGTTTTGGAATTTTCTAACACTCGAGGCGCAAAAGAGAGTGAAAAACAGCTAGACAATAAAGGTCCGGATGACAAGTAGTACAAAATTGGCGCGACAATAATCTAAAATAAACAACCAATCAGAAAACAGTTCACCGTGCATCGAAATAATTTGTTATTTTAGATTTAAAATATATCCATTTTCTAATCTTCTTCTTCCAGTATAAGAGCCGGGATCCAAAAGGAACGTAATATGAGGCTCTGCGGAACTATGTACATGGTGAGATGGAACACTCTTCCGCTCAGCGATAAAAGTTGTAAAAACTGATAAAAAATTTATTTACAGAGACGTTGTGAAGTGAATTTAGATGGAGGCCGGCAGGCGCGCGCGGAAAGCATCCAACGTTTCCGCGGCGGTGACTGTTGATGCCAGGCCATTCCAATCAACAATTGTCCTGGGGAAGAAGGTATTTGTATACATCCCGCCAGTGGTGCGTTCTTGGTAGAAACGTATACGTGTTCTACTGTCACTGGTGTTCTTCTTGGATTGGTTACTCAATGGTAGGTACTTGTCCTTGGGGATGTCTAGTTAGGTCATGTTGAATGCGGTAGAGCATGCCTATCCTTGCTTCCTTCCTTCTCTGTTGGAGGGTGTTCCAATCCAGGCTCCTCAGCATTTCTGTCACACATCCGGGTGTTCTGGATTTATAGTCATTTTTGACAAACCTGGCTGCCCTTTTCTGGATCTGCTCAAGTGAATCTATGTGTGTCTGAAGATGAGGATCCCAAACCGTTGCTGCATATTCAAGACCTGGGCGTACAAAAGTGCAGTAACTTGCTGCTTTCAGTTGTGGTGTACAATCCTTCAAGTTTCTCCTCACAAATCCCAGTGTTCTGTTTCCTTTGGCAGCTACATTCTGTATGTGCTTTTCCCATGAGAGGTTGTTGGAGACAGTTACACCAAGGTATTTGCTGTGGTCCACTGATTGCAGGACTTGGCCATGAAGTATATACTGGTGTTAGTGATCTATCTTTCTGTTTGATGATATGTGTAATACATAGCACTTGAAAGCATTGAAGCGCATAAGCCAGGTTCGTTCCCATTGTTCCAGTGCTTCAAGATCCTGCTGCAGCCTTGCCTTGTCATTTGTACTCTTGATGACCCTGTACATGAGGCTGTCGTCCGCAAAGAGTCGGATGTCAGATGATGTGCAATCAGGCATGTCATTTATGTAGGCCAGGAATAAAAGTGGACCTAGTACGGTTCCCTGGGGAACGCCAGATATAACATAATACTTTAGGCACAAAAGAGAGTGAAAAAGAAAAATTCGACTCATATAATGCATCTTAAATACCTAAATATGTATAAAAATTGGTTTATATCATCTCCCTTAACTGGATCCCTTGCAACTCGGCCGACTTAATATTTAGTGTATTTGTGCCTTTTGGTATATTACCAACTTGCATAAATGAATAATACACCGAGTCGCATTTTCTGTTTTAAGTTACCTCCCTTATGTAAACAACATACCCAGCAACCCGGATAAATATCATATTCTAAATTTGATTAATTTATATCCTAGGACGTAATATTATGTATTCATTGTAGCATTTTTATTCTCTCTCATCAGTCTGTTTAACTTAACTTAAGTATTCTAAAACAGTTCTTTCTATCGTTGAGAACTTGAGACTGAGTTGAGTTGACATAGTGAACTGATACATGTATTTTGAAATCCTCATTTAAAGCTTCGTCACGTGTGTCTTGTAGTGTTAAACACTCTGACATATATATATTGACATTTCTACCACTGCATCAGAAAGAATATACAGTAGCGACTCTGCGTTTTTTTAAATGTACTGTACTGCATTGAAAACAAACATTTGTTAACTGCATCCAGTTACATCATATGTACAGTATAGCTATTTGAATTTAAGGCTTCCACGTTTACAATGTACAGTATAGCTATTTGAATTTAAGGCTTCCACATTTACAATTTTTTGTAAACGTTAACACGATTGCTAAGAACGGAAACAATACCGTTTCAACGGTGGTACTTCTATATACTATACTACACCATGTATTCGAGTCGCCAAATGATGACTAGATCTACTTTCTATTTTTAATACATGTACAAATAAATTATGTTCAGGGCTCATCACGATTGAGTCGGCATTGTATCTCCATTTCGCTCTTATGAAAAATCAAAGGAAAATCAACTTTACCAAAAATGTATTATGTTACAAGCTATTATTGCACGTAAATGCTGTGTGCAGGGTTGTAAACACCAATTTTCCGTTTTTTTACTTTGGAATAAACCAATTAGAATTGATAAAATCCATAATTACAGGCAATGATTAAAATATTTTGTAAGACAATATGGTCATTTCAATTAAACGGTAAATATATCTAGTAGATATCGTAAACGTTTTACGAATGAAAATCGAAACAAATCTGTTTAAACATGTAACAGTGGAAGCCTTATATTTGATAGTATCAGATGGTTCCTACTTAAGATAATTTGATGTGTGACTGCCAAAGCTACATTTGTATATTCTGAGATATTTTTGTCTTGGGTCAGAATCTCGCTTTATTGCCCGCCCATACACAAAATATTGCAATATCTCAAGCGTAGTGCAATTAGCTTGACAGTTTAAGTCATAGAATTACTGGTTACATGTCCACAACCAAAACTGACAAACATTTAACCCAGATGACCACCCTGAAAAAGCTTTATTTAGCATATTCAGTGTTCATTGTCAATCAATTGCTATTTTATCAGAAATAAATGCATGCTTTTTCTATTATTAAGTAGTTAAATTTATTTCAACTTTCGTAAAAGAAAAAATATTTTAATGTTTAATTGATTGGGACGTGATTGATTGTGATAGTATATAGTGAAGGGAGAATTTTGTTGTTGTTTAAATGTACCACAAGAAATGAATTCCAACACATTCATTTACCTTTTATGGAATAATGTCTGAATATTCATAGATACTAAGATTACTTGAAACTTACCTGTATCTATTCATCAAATGTATTTTATTACAATTGCAGCATTGATAAACTATAAGATCAACATGTTGAAGCAGGATTTTATTGAAAGACGGACACATGTGAGTCATGTGATTCCCCCTCAGTGGAAACTTGACCCACAAGGACAGTACTATGAACTGGATTTAAAAATGTGTCAGCTTAAAGAACTCAATTATGATTTTAATTGGGGAAAAGAAGGGTAAATAATTTGTTTGACATTTTTAGTTCAATGAGCAAATTGAATATTATACCTTACATGGCTCAGATGACATAATTTGAATTGTGCTCTTTAAATGGAAAAGAAGTTGTCTCTGCTTATATTGTATTATAGTCCAAACATAACAGAACAAAGTCTTCTTTATATGTATACTATTTCTAGTATTTTGATATTTGAAAATATTTAATTTTATTAAAATTACTCCACCTACCACCTGCACCACTCACCAAGATTTTTTTTTATGCTATATCAGTTGAGGTATAAAAAGTGGTTTACGACCATCATCCCCTCTTGTTGGAAAAATGACAAAACTCTGTCATGGATTTTGAGAAAATATGCCCCTTTTTAGCTAGACTATTCATAAAATAAGAGCAAAACTGCCTTGCTTCCCTCAGTTTTGGCGTGCAAGTTAGCATCTCCAAAACTGCGAAAGGGAATGGTTTAAGCTTCACAAACTTGTTCTTTATGATTATCTAGCATGATGGGCTAAGGTCTTATAAGTGCGTAACCTTTTTAAAGAGTTCTGCCACTTTTCTTACTGTAAAGCATTGAGAATAGACAAGCTTGTCATCTTTACAGACAGCTCTTACTTCACTTAGAAATTTTTGGTAAAATTTTTTTATACCTACACCTCTATATTCTATAACCTTTGAGGTGTTACTTTGAAACTTTGAATACTTGTAATGTATATGTATTATTGCATTATATAAGTACTGTGTATATTACAGTGGACCTCTCCCTCGAATGGCGTCAATTATTGAGGTACCATCACGGATTGTGAGACTTGACTTGTCTTTAAATGAGTTAGCAGTACTGGATCACGCCGGTCTAAGACCTTACAGAAACCTCAGGGAACTCAATGCATCACTCAACAAAATTAGCAAGTATGAATCAGATTTCAAAACAGAATGCAAAAATAATATAGTATGATACAAATTACATTGTTATGAAATACAGTACAATTTAGTTTAACATTGAGAGTTATGAGTGTTAAACCCTTTAACTGGCAGCCATTGAATGATTGAAGCCTTTATATTTATTCATAGTATTTTTAGAGGGATAAGTAACTTAAGGCGGCTTTCAGCTTTCATTTACTGTTGGAAAAACAGTTCTTTGTTGTTTTAAACTAAGTATTTCAGCATTTTTATCTTGGAAAAGTGCATCATATCATTGTTTAGCCGTCTTTAAAACAGCATCCCAAGAGCTATTTATAACAAGTCAATGACATATATTTCTAAAAAAAGGAGATAAGGAAACAAATCATCTGCTTTACTAATTTAAATATATAGAGAGTGGACCTGTGGATAATAGAGGTACATGTATCAATGGGGTTAATTTTTATTGTTAATGTATTTTATCTAGTTAGGCAAATTTTATTTTCCACCTTAATTCTTTTGTTTTGACTATTAAATGAAACAATTGCTCTAAAATAACATACATGTATTTAATATTCAGAAAAGCTAAAGGCTGCTTTAATAATAAAATTATGTACATTATAAGTTTCTTTGTTGAAAGATAAGAAAATTAACCACCTTTCTTATGGTAATTTTGTTAAACTATTTCATCAGAGACTTTTCATTCTGCACAAATGCAAGATCTATACATTGTAATAATGTAATTTTTTATATAATATTTCTAACCTATAGGGATTATGTTTCGATCTTCTTATATTTTTTTTTCTGAATATATAAAGATCATAAAGCATCTTATAACGTCTGTGATGGTGAATTTTTTCTTGCACATTCGTCTTAAGATGATATAAATCACACTATGTTATTCTGGAAACACTTAAGTTGCTAAAACAGTGGTGTCTGCAGACTAATGACAATAAATTGAAAATCTATGTCTGTCAATAGGGATGATGTGAGAAGAAATATAATTTCTTAATAGAAATCCTGCCAGCGTTTGAAGAAAATGATGCAGAAAATTAATCTAAAAGCTGTGAAACATTGGAATTGATAGGGGGATCTATGAATATGCCAAGAGGAAATTTAACCCTATTTATTGAAATTTGTTAGGTGCAGAAATTCTGTGCTTTGTAGTTTGACAGACAGTTCACTGATCTTGTGTGTCTGCTATGATATAAGATTTTTGCATTTGTTCATCTGTGATTATATTAATTCTTGTTCTCATCTGAAACAATGATATTAAACCGTTCTTTAATGTGAATTTGTAAAATGAACTTTGTATATAATGTCCCGATAGGTTCTGGTTAACCAATAATTATGAAATATTCTGTTAAATGTTAAACAGTCTAAAAAAATGATAAAAATGCTTTTTATAGTAGTTTATCTTTTCAAAGTGAAGCTGCAATTCTTTGTTACATGACTCTTTTCTTTATTGTTGTTGTTATTTAATGTAACATCCACCAAGAGCAAAGAATGCCTTAATTATACAGAACTATACAATTCTCTTCATCTTTTGTTGATATATAAATTGACTTAATGATTGGTTATAGTTTTGTGTGCTTCATAATTATATTTAATCACTCTCAAAATATGCAATTGGAAATTGTATCATCATCATAGATTACTATAGAAATTCCCCAAATATTTTTGTGAAGCTTTTGTTTCACTGAAAAGTAAAGTGCACTGCCAGAGAGACACTGTATTTTAAATTACAGAAAAATAATTGAAAACATTTTCATAAAAAGTAATTGAAGAAAATAAAACAAGAATATCATTCTGCTGTTCAAACGATAGATTGCTCAAAATGATTTAATTATGATGCTGATAGGAACTATTTGTGCCGCGTCACGACAAAAACAACATAGTGCGTTTGCGACCAGCATGGATCTAGACCAGCCTGCGCATCCGCGCAGTCTAATCAGGATCCATGCTGTTCGCTTACCAACCCTATTACAGTAGAGAAGCTGATAGCAAACAGCATGGATCCTGATCAGAATGCGCGGATGCGCAGGCTGGTCTGGATCCATGCTGGTCGCAAACGCACTATGTTGTTTTTGTCGTGACGCGGCACATTTTATGTTTATTTTCAGTTTCACTGGAATAGAAATATTGAAGTATCTACAAACCCTGAACCTGTCTCATAACTTCATTAGTAAGATAGAGAATCTAGTATCAAGTTCCTCTCTAATTGAGCTGAACCTCAGTATGAATGAGTTAACTGATGTGTCATATATGCCAAGTTTGATCAACCTGGAAGTTTTAAATATCAGTAATAACAAGGTAGGTGCTATGCCAAGTTTGATCAACCTGGCACGGTTTTAAATATCAGCCATAACAAGTTAGTTTCTATGCCAAGTTTAATCAACCTGGAAGTTTTAAACATCAGCAATGTAAAGGTATGTTTATGCCAAGTTTGATCAACCTGACAGTTTTAAATATCAGCAATTACAAGCCAAGTTTGATTAACCTGGACGTTTTAAATATCAGCAATAATAAGGTAGGGGTTGCTATGCCAAGTTTGATTATTTAAACTGAAGAAGTAAATATACAATTTTATCACATACCAACTGCTTTTTTTTGGCAACAGAAAATCAGATAGACTAATAATTCCAGCATGATTACAAGATCTTATACTGATGTTTACATGCCAAGCTTGCCAAGGCATTATAACCTTATATCATATATCAGAATATCAGAAATGATTAAAAGATACAATCAATCTATCATGCTGTCTGTGAAAACACATCTTTATGATCTAGTGTTGCACATTTATTGAGCTACTCAAAGTCTTATCATTAAATATTGACACAGGAGTTATCTTATTGCATAAGTTCAGGAATGATCGTTTTCCTTGTACTTTATAAACATTTAAATTGTTGTTCTCTTTGAGATACATAGAATTATTTTGAATATACACTAATTGTTATTAAAGTTTACATTTCTTCTGGCCAATTGGTTATATAAGTTGCCAACTTGTTTTGTTTTTTTTTCAGTTAAGATCTCTAGATGGTGTTCAGTCTCTGGCAAGATTACGAGAGCTTCATGCACAGAGAAACAATGTAGTAAGTAGAGCTAGTTGAATAAATAATGTTTTAACTGCTGATGAAATCTTTGATAATCATAATAGAAATCATCCTGGATTCATAGCATACATGACCTACTAGTAACATGTACTTGTGTTATGTCATGTGACTGCAAAAAAACATGAGCACATATTTTATAGATGGTCATTTTAAGATTATGATATACATTTTAAAACATATACATGTAGGTTCCTGCTTAGACTTAATAGACATACATGTATATGCATACAGAACTTTTGTCTGCATAACATTTGTATTTTAGCTTGTCTGTTTTGAAGTGAAAGTTGGGCTTTTATGATTGCTATGTCGTTGTTTATGCCGTTGCCTATTATGCAAAAACTTAAATGTTCATGTAGTTAAATATATGTAATTAAAATATTTCTAAAGGTATCAACACGAAACATTAATACTTGCTTATCATGACAAGATGCAATTTCAAAATATGGGGCATTATTTCAATACTTCTGATATCTATTTTTCATAGATATCCCCCTTCTTTGTCAAAATTGTCTATTTAGTAGAAAGATTTTAAAACTACAAAATGTATCATCATAAAATTGGATACTTGTTTATCATGATAAGAAATAGTTGTTAAACACTTGAGGCATAAATATATTCTAAAAGCTAAATTTTAGGAGTTTATTATGCATCTTTTTAACTTAGAAATTTGTCAAACTTCTTATGATAAGTAAAATGAATTCAAAACTGTAAAAGATATCAACATGAAACTTGAAATACTTGATTTTCATGGCAATGCAAGTGAGACAAGGGGCATTATCCTGATAGCAATATTTTTAGGAGTTATCTCTCTTTTTGATTAATTAAGAATATTAATAAAAATTGGTTATTGACAGCTCTCTACAGATGAGCATTAAAACTGCATGCAGTGTCTTGTCAATTTTATTGTACAAGAATAAGGCTCGATAAGAAAGAAATGCTGTAGCATCTCTCAATTCATAATTGATATTTACTAATATGTAAATATAAAATCAGTCAAGCAGCTTATATTTTTTTGGTTAAATCAGGGCAATCATCTTATGAAGTTCAAAGGTTGTGAGCAAAATTATCCTCTTATTATGAAGTTGAAAGGGTTTTGAAGTTCAAGTCTTTGATTGATGGTCAAAGGTCAAGGACAAATTGACATTTTAAAAACTGTTTCCTCTCAATTAATATTGAACTCTATCATCCACAGTCCTGTAATTTTAATTCTTAAATTCCCATTTCAATCTTTACCCAGATTAGTATAAAAACTTTGTTCTATGACAAGATAAATAGTATGGGTTAAATGCTCCTAGAAATTTAACCATTCATCATTTTCTGTTTATCTTAAAGGAAGAGACATCAAGAACAACATTAGGTATAATGCATGGATGCTGATTACAGGCCTGATTAGAATAGTTTCCCACCAAAATTCAGAGAAATGTGTTTTTTTATAAATTAGAAGATTACGCAGAAACACATCAAAATGTCACAGTTGTAATTGACATGTGTAGTGATTGTATTTTCTGTGACCGTTTGCAAATTAGACAAGAATGATCCAGGCAGGAATTTCTAGTCTCAAATTTAAACCTCTAATTAAAAAAACAATAATGTGATTTGGTTTTCAAATGTGTTGCTGGTTTTGGATACTGTAGCTTCTTTTACTTTTAGTTTATTTTTAGAGCATTCGAAAGTGAGAGCATAGTTATCTTTAGTTGTTATTTTGTCTAACAAATAACTATTCTCAGCATGAAAGTGCAAGCTATTGATTTAGATAAAATTATATTTGGATCAGAAGTGTTAAATGAATGTTAAATTCCCATGTATACAACTTATCTGCTTCTAAATAATACCAAACTAGTGAAGGCTTAATTTAATGTTTTACAGAGTTGTAAATTGTATTTTATTGTGCACTTTATACTAATTAACAAATAAATCTAATAAGTCAGCTTATTTTAGGATACTAAAAAAAGAAGAAACATTTTTGTCAAGAAGTAATATGCTACGGTAGTTACAGGATTGAATTTACAACTTCCAAACAAGTTGTTTATTCAGTGCCCATTTTATTTTATTTTCCCCAAGCTTATAAAGTTGGTAATGAATTTTATGAGGTTTGACTTAATTTAATTTATTCCTTCATTTTTGTGTCGCCTCTACGGAGTAGTGGCGACATAAAGGGATCACTTCTCCGTCATCTGTCTGTCCTTCTGTCTGTCTGTCTGTCCGTCCGTCCGTCTGTCCGTCACAAAACTTGTCCGGACTACTCCTCATAAACTACTGGTGCAATTTCATCCAAACTTACCAGGAATGATCAGTACCAAGTCTAGTTGTTCATATTGTCAGCATTTTCCGGTTCAATGATTTTTGTCAGAGTTATGGCCCTTTAATAATTTTTAATTTTAAAGTTTGTCTGGACTACTTCTCTTATACCATTAATGCAATTTCAATGAAACTTTACAGGATTGATCTGTAGCTCAAGTCCTTGCGCATATTGCACGGGTTTTCCGGTTGAATGATTTTTGGCCATGTTATGGCCCTTTGATAAAAAGGTGTTTTTTTCTGTGTGTTGCCAGATACACAAAAGCTTGTCCGGACTACTTTTCATAACCCACTGGTGCAATTTTATCCAAACTTTACAGGAATGATCAGTACCAAGTCTAGTTGTGCATATTGTCAGCATTTTCCGGGTCAATGATTTTTGTCAGAGTTATGGCCCTTTAATAATTTTTATTTTTAAAGTTTGTCCGGACTACTTCTCTTATACCACTAGTGCAATTTCAATGAAACTTTACAGGATTGATCTGTAAATCAAGTCCTTGCACATATTGCACAGGTTTTCTGGTTGAATGATTTTTGGCCGAGTTATGGCCCTTTGATAAAAAGGTGTTTTTTTCTGTCTGTTGCCAGATAAGCAAAAGCTTGTCCGGACTACTCCTCATAAACTACTGGTGCAATTTTATCCAAACTTTACAGGAATGATCAGTACCAAGTCTAGTTGTGCATGAATTTTATGAGGTTTGACATTTAATTTATTCCTTCATTTTTGTGTCGCCACTACGGAGTAGTGGCGACATAAAGGGATCACTTCTCCGTCATCTGTCTGTCCTTCTGTCCATCTGTCTGTCTGTCCGTCTGTCACAAAATTTGTCCCAACATGAAATTGGCCATCATGAGGCGACACATGTGATTACTGATCGCTCTTGTTTTATATTTTGATAAGGAGGGGGCAATATCACGTTAGACTTGACATAAGTGAATTTGAGACACATGCTTATTTAGGAATAGGCCTTGAATTATTGCAGTTTGCAATTTTGACTAAGACAGTAAATGAGTGTAGAAGACAAACTGATTTTATCAAGTATTGTGTGTTTTCAGGAAGATATAGTACCCCTGACAAGCTGTTTCCATCTTCAAGTTTTAAATGTTGCAGACAATCATATAATTGCCCTTCACAATACTGTTGATATACTTGCCCAACTGAGGAGGCTTGAAGTTCTCAGTCTTCATGTAAGTGTTATATACATTACTTGTCCTTTAATTAGCTCGACTTTTTTTTTTTTTTGAAAAAAAAAGTAGAGGTATTGTTATAATCGCGGCGGCGTTTCCGTTGCCGTCCGCAAACTTGTACCTGGATCATAACTTTTTTATTTCTTGGTGTATTGTCTTCATACTTGGCCACAACAACCCTTGGAACAAGACCTTTCAGTAGACCACACTAACCTTGACCTTCATCCATAAATGACCTTGACCTTCAAGGTCAAAAGTCCAAATTTTGCTTGTTCATGCTGTTATTGGCTGTAACTTTGTTATTTTTGAATGGATTGTCTTCAAACTTTAACATAATAATCTTCAAGGATATCCCTTAAAAATAACCTGATAGACCTTGACCTTCACTCATAAATGACCTTGACTTTGACGGTCAAATTATTAAAATTTTATGTTTTTGGCTATTATTGGCTGTAACTTTGCTATTATTGAAGGGATCATTTCATATTATAACAGAACATACTTAAGGACAAGACCACGTGACTCTACCACTTGACACCACCACGTGACTCCACCATGTGACTCCACCACGTGACTCCACCACGTGACTCCACCACATGTCCACCAAGTGACTTCACCACGTGACTTTACCATGTGACTACCACGTGACTTTACCACGTGACTCCACCACGTGTCTTCACGACGTGACTTCACGACATGACTCCACCACGTGACTCCACCACCTGACTCCACCACGCGACTTCACCACGTGGCTTCACCACAGGACTCCACAACGTGACTCCACCAGGTGACTCCACCATGTGACTTCACCACGTGACTCCACCACGTGACTTCGCCATGTGATGTGACTTCACCACGTGACTTCACCATGTGACTTCACCACGTGACTCCACCACGTGACTTCACCACGGGACTCCACCACGGGACTCCACCACGTGACTTCACCACATGACTTCACCACGTGACTCCACCATGTGACTCTACCACGTGTCTCCACCACAGGACTCCATCACGTGACACCACTATGTGTCACCAAGTGACTACACCACGTGTATCTATTTATAGAATTTTCTATTTGTAGAATTGTGTGTTTCTATTTACAGAATTTTCTATTTATAGAATTGTGTGTTTCTATTTATAGAATTTTCTATTTATAGAATTGCGTGTTTCTATTTATATATATATATATAAATTAGTATATTTATATATACAAAATATATATACAAAACTAATGTGACAAGACAGACCGATTAATTTTATAAAAAGGAAACGTTAAGATTTTGTTCAAACATTTCTTTGTTTGCTTTTAGAGAAAGTAAAAAGTCGAGCGTTGCCCCCGCCTGGCGGTGGCTCTTGTTATTAAAGCAGCATGCCTCCAGATTAATGCTCATTTTCATAAAAGTTTTGAAAATGAATTTAAATGTATGTTATTGTATAATAACCTAAAGGAATCATTTTATACAATATCAATGGCACTTACAACCCACAATTATTACAAAAAGTGGTCAAAATATGCAAAAAATGCCCTTACAGCTTTAGTAATACAGTAGAAATGTAATAACATTTATTGAAAAATTCACCATTAAACACTCAGAACATATAAATTATTACTTGAATCTTGAATATTTTTACTTTGCCTAAAATCTTAGTACATTTTTCACAAGTTTGATTTATTGAAATTCAATGAGGTAATTTTGCACTTTATCACTTGAAGTATCTTAGTTTTTGTGCAATTTTTACATGTTACAAATAATGTACTAAGAAATCAAGTAAATCATAATGTATGTTTTTGAATTTAGGGAAATCCAGTAGAGAAAGATCATATGTATCGTACTGAGATCATTAAATCAACAAATGTGATGACACTAGACAATATCTCTGTTAGACCATTACCAAAACCAGCAGATATGGACAGAGTACAGGTAAAGTTCCATTCTATTTGAAAGGGTTGTAAGTCTAGGTGCATGTGTGTTTCTTCAATAGATATAACAGAAATATGATGTTGATCCATAGTTAAAAGATGCTTTTTACATAGCAATTATTACCACCTGTGGCTGCCATTTTAAGGGTCATTCTCAAAATATTTGCTTAAGGTAAGATAAAAGAAAATCTCATAATTCAATCATTTCATGAAAACTGATACAAATATTTTACATATTGGTGCAATAATGATAGTTTCCTGCATAAAATAATCTGACAATTTACCCAACTCATTTGTTTATTTTGATTTTTTTTTTCACATTTTGTCAATTATATTACATGTATATAGATATTGACCCCACAAATGGCTGCCACTATGTCAAGGGAGGTAAATATTGTAAAAATCGGGAACAATCTATACTGTAGGGGCACTTTATGAAGTATTATGTAAAATTTGGTTTGAAATTAATTGAATATACACTGTAACCTGTAGAGAGCTGCATTCTGTAGAGCACTCTGTAAAGCAATAATCTCTTTACTCTGGGTTCGAATCCCAACAGGGACTTTGGATTATTTCATGTGAGGAAGCTACCCAGCTAGCTTTAGGAATGTCGGTGGTTCTACTCAGGTGTCCCGTTTGTGCACGGAAGGGCACCTGAGGTCTTTCTTCACCAGTAAAAGCTGGAACATCACCATATTACCTATTCTGTGTCAGTGTGACGTAAAACCCAAACAAACAAACAACAGCAGTAAGAATTCTTCTGGAAGTAAAACTTTACAATAAATATAACCTCTGTACAATTTTTGTAGGTCATTGCAATGATTACTCTGCTCCTTTTAGGTAGCAAAAGTCTGTCTGTGCTACAGTGAAAAGTATAACAAATGACAATAATTTTATGTTTTTTTATTTAGTATGATGAGAACTATAAACATGTTCAGAATATTCACACACTGAAGGAAGCTGCCAGGCAGGCTTTTGAAGAGCGAATGAGAGATGCTAAAACACAAATGGCTGATCAGATCGGATTCTTACAAAGGAGGATTGTGTAAGTCTTGAAGTTGTCAAGCTTCATTGTATAATAATTGAATTTGCTTGTTTAAATTAATATAGAATTGTGTTTATTTTATCAAGTGAGCATAAGATAAATGATATTTTTTAGAGTTACATTAAGTGAATAGTGTATTAACTTGCGATTCTCTATAATAGCAGCTTTTATAGATCAACTGCTGATCAACTACTCAAGATTCTAGTCTATGCACAATTTCAGGTAATACATGTAGTGGGAAAAAACCGGTATAACCACAAACTTAACCATCTTAATATTTTCTCCATATAAAAGAATTGAATGACCTTAGTTAACAGTTTTGACCTTTCACCTGCAGAATTTTAAGAAACATGTTTTAATAATTCACTGTATTTTTAGTTTTTATATAGCTATTAAGAGAAGAATATTTACATGTATCTATATACAGTTATTGTGTATTGTTGTAGGATGTTACAGAAAGAATATCAAGAATACGAGTCCACATTACGTAATGACCTTGACTCCTGCTTAAGGTATGTTGTTTTCATTTCTTTTTTTAAATGTGTATGACTTAAGTGTAAATGACTTAACATGCAAACTTGACTTTTTTCATATTCATAATTGAAAAAAACAAAACATATTTATTTGCTATAGTTTATATTTTTGTAAGGGAACTGTCTTGTTTAAAAGACCATTATGCCCTAAAAAAAGCTTTGTTTATTCTTCAAAAGCGTTTTATCTTTGGTTTACTATTATAGATTTCAAAAAGCTATTCATTTTCCAAAACCCTTAACCATCTTTTTCTTCTGTTGCTATTTTGGCAATTAGTACAAAAATGTACAGTCAGTTGTAGTGATTTAGTATTTTGTATGGAAGTCAAAATACTACTTTGTTTACTTTTGGCTACTTTTATGACAAATATTTTCACTTTAAGCGCTACTCCCTTCAGATAACAAACATCTAAAATGCTCTTAAATCATTAACTTAACATTATAAAACTCATGCTTGCACTTTCTAAGGAAGTAAAAATTTATTTGTATCTGTGCCTTTAATTTACAAGTATATAATTGTTAATTATTTGTAGATATCTGGACAATTTGTCCCATACGGAGATAGGATCTTTTGATAGATCAGCTATGAGGGATAGTATGGGAACACCACAACCAAAGCCATGGGTAAGATTCCTAGCAACTTCATTAGATTTTTGAAACAGTAATTTACATAGTGTATGTATTTGCTTTTTTATAGAATTTTGTTAATCAATTATGGAATTGTTGTAGTAATTTGAAAGCATGTAGGAATGCCTCAGTATGTTAAACCTTATGTATCCTATCATTTTATGTTACATTCTTGCATTTGCCTTATTTTGATAGCCATGGTTATGACATAGGAAGTTAATATTGTGTAATTCTCTTAATTATGGTGCAAATTGAGTCTTAAAGTTTAACAGTACCAGCGTGGCTTTAATTTCAAAAAAGAATGAAAGACAAAATTTCAGTTAAAAAAACTAACTGAACATTATATTTGTTATATTCAACAGCATAGAAGTCACAGATCCCATGCAGATAGGGATAAAACAGATTACAGTAACATTAAGAAAACAGAACAGGTGAATCTTTATATCACATGTACATATATTTGTATTTAAATGACATGTTCTTATTACATGTATATTGAGAACTTCATATGTATTTGAATAGCACCTTTTTGATATTAAATCAAATGAATATCACAAGGAAATACAACTGAAATATAATCAGTTAATTTGTAACATAATCATAATTGCAAGGATCATTATATGACTCTCTAGAGCATGGAAGTGTTTCTTTAAATGATTGTGAAATGTCTGTCTAAAGAATGTTGCAGTCATAAGCAGTTCTGTTCTTTATAGACTTGTTATTCTTATAAACAGACTAAGACTTTTCATCTTTTAATTTTTTTGGCTAGAAATCAACATACAATCAATATCTTTTGTTTGAATGTAACCCAATGACCTTAACATTAAACTTATATCAATGACATTAGTATGACTAATTATCCTAATAGTATGACATGCTTGAAATATTTTAGTCAGAGGTTTTTTAGACTGTTGTAACTGAAAATGATTAGCCTTTGCACCATTTAAAGTCAGGCCAGCCTACACATACATACTGTCTGACCAGGCTCTATTCTGTTGGCTGACCAGCTTTACAATTAAAAATTGATATTCCTAATACGATAATGGACAGTTCCAAACTTGAAGAAGTACAGGTCGTTTTAAGAAAGTCAGCAGGTTGAGGGTTTAATATCAAGAAAATGTACATGGTTTCACTATATTGATTGGACCAGCCAATTTTCATGATCAACTACTTATACATGATTTTTTTTGCAGGTTTTAATGTTTGCTAGCAAGGAGCTTAAGAAGTGAAAATTCTTTCTAAAGAGACAAAACATTGTGGACAAAACAAGACAGCTCAGTATGAGAGGAATGGAAATATTGTGTTCAATAACACTTTGTCAAATAATCTTGTCATTTTCTCATTATCAGATAAACTTGGCATTATCTCCTAGGAGAAGATTGACATAACGACAATTATGATCTGTGCATGAAATTTAGTGACTAAAGTACCAGTTTTAAATTAGGCTATTTCCTACTGGCTATATTTTATAAGTTAGCTTTTTATAAATGTTTGTATGACTATGCTTAGGTAATTCTCTACTAAGAATAACCTTATATCTTCTTATTATATTATAATAAGAATGAATATAGTGTTAGAGCAGCAGGACATAGAGGATATTGAATAAGTGTAAGTTCAATACTGAATTTATTGCTCAAGTTGAATAAAATTGAATAAAATCGCAAGAGGCTCGCATAATATTATTTTATTCAAGGAGTTCAATAAAGTCAGTAATGAACTTACACAAATTTGATATTCTATTTATCACATACCTAAAATAAAGACCATTTAAAGTGAAAAAAGAGTCATTTTTCATTGACGCGCCTATAGTATAACGCTAACATTTAGTGCTTCTTGCTTCTTTACACTATGTTTGTATAACGCTAATGATGTCACATCAAAATATATGCACGACCATGCAATACCGTGCAATACCATTGTTACGAGTCGCAAAATCGGCACGGGTGTGTGATAATTGTAATTATGAAAAAAAAATTAGTTTAGATGTTACTTGAGCTACTGAATTACCAGATAATGTCGGGGTAGCCTGCATATTTTTTTCTGTCATGTCAGATTCTATCCTATTGGCTTCTCAGATATTATATGTAACCTTTTAATATTGAAATCACTTGATGATGGGCAGTCCCAAGTAAAGCAAGGAAAATCCTTCAGGCAGATTTACCTGTTATCTGATACATTTACAGATAAATGACAAATATTTTATAGAAAAAGAAAACAATTCTTGGACATGCTTTGTTATTAAATTTAAGATTGATGAATTTTCACCGTAATGTGTGACATATTTAATGAATTCGCTAGAAAAAAAGAACTAATTCACAAAGTTAGTGAAATTTGCAATAGGTTTAAGCTTGATAGAAAAAAAATGTAAAATAGACCATCAGTTTAAAATGATATATCAAGTGACCATTGTTAGTCTTTGAAAATGTTGTACAACTTTTATATTACTTTAGATTTAGTTTTAAGTGAAACAATAAGATTTTATTAACTTTCATGCCCTTTTCATCTAACCATTTTTTACATAAGACAGTCAGTCTAAATTGATATATTTAGTACATGCTTTTCGATGGTTTATAGAAATATATCAGTGAAATAAAACTGGTAATTTCACTGTTTGAAACAGTGAAATTACCATTTTGATAATTTCACTGTTTTGAATTTAAGCCCCTTACGTTGTTTCAGTGAAATACCAGCGTGCACAGTACTGGGTACCAACTTAATGACGTGACGTCGTAAATGACGTCACGTTGTATTATTATTTGGCGCGCTTTTAATTCAGTATTAGGTTTATTGTCTTTTTAAAACGTTTTTTTGCATATAATAAAAAGAAAATTTGTTTAGTTTAGTGTAAGATTGAAATATATTTCACCTTGTGAACACCAAAAGTTCATATTTCACTCGTGGCTGCGCCACTCGTGAAATATACCTTTTGGTGCTCACTCGGTGAAATATATACCGATCTTACACTGAACTAAACAAATATCCTCTATATAAACAGCAGATAATATAAGGGAAAGAAATAAACTAGTTAGTCCTAATACTGATGGAGGTATAAGAAATAATTTGCAATAATTATAGATTGGTGTACATGTATATTATAAACTGAATGATTTGATTAGCAATTGTGTTGTTCATACATATATGTCATTTTTTTTATTTCACTAATATTTTGCCAAAGTCTGTGATAAAGAATTTATTGTTGCATATGTCATTTTTGTATTTTTATATTTATCAATGATAATTGTCATTTTTACACATTTTGTTAAAGAAGGAATAATATATAAACATTTAATGACAGCAATGGTATATTGTGATTTTTTTATGACCATTAGATCAAAAAGACTAAAAAACCTGAAATTTGAAATTCTTGTATTTGTCATCTGAAGCGCTTAAAATGAAAAATCTGCTATAGATAATAAAGAAATAATACTCAGAGTTTAAACTGAACATCGATTTTTTTGCGATTTTAGCCAAGTTGGGGTGAAAAGCATTTTTAATTTTTTCGTCATGTTGCAAAATATTTAAAAACAGAGTGAGGGATTGATCTGAACTTTTACACACAAATGGTACAAAAGTCTCGAAAAATTATTCATGTCAAAAAATCTCAATAGAGCCCCTTTAAAAGTTCATAATTGAGCCGCGTCACGACAAAACCAACATAATGGGTTTGTGACCAGCATAGATCCAGACCATAGATCCACGCAGTCTGATCAGGATCCATGCTGTTCGCTTACAAACCCTATTACAGGTAAAGAAACTGATAGCGAACAGCATGGATCCTGATCAGACTGCGCGGATGCGCAGGCTGGTCTGGATCCATGCTGGTCGCAAACCCATTATGTTGGTTTTGTCGTGTCGCGGTTCATATGTCTTTTATGCAACACTTCAGGGGGTAAATTTGATTTTATTCATTCAGTCATTTGTCAGCAACAAGCCAAATATGCGGCCAATTTTGCTGATATTATTTCCTTTGATGTTAAGGCCAAAGATATTTTTCAAATGATTCGAAAGTCCAAAGACATCCATGACATAATGCACCTCTGGTCTTCACCCTTCACAAATGCTATCAAGTTGCGTTACAAATATTTAATTTGATATTTGCTAAAATCCATCAAAATTCGTTATTTGTTTGGGATTTGTTTTTGATTCAACAAGTCAAAAATATGTCCTATAAAACTATGCACTAGTATTTCCACTTTTATAAGTTTCAAATGAAAGGTTTTCATACTATCATACTCGTAATAGTTTGAACAACTTTGAAGGATGACTTCTTACTGTAATAAATTTTAGAAACAAGCAGTAACTTCTAATAAAAAAATATTGTTTTCAATGGTCATTTGTTTAAAGCTAATTGCTTCGGTCAAGCATCAAATAATCATTGTCTTGCAAAGTGATGATGTTAATACCTTCTTGTTCCATCCAAAATATGTGAAGGATACTGTATAGTTATTTTAATCCTTTTTAAAGTGATCTACTTTTAAAGCTGCATGCCTCCAGATGAGCGAAAATATTTTAATGAACAAAGATTTTAGGAAAAGTAAAAATATTCAAGATTCAAGTAATAATTTACATGTTATGTGCGATTAATGACTGATTTTTCAGTATTTATGATTATATTTCTACTGCGTTACTAACGCAGTATGGGCTATTTTTGCATATTTTGTCCTCTTTTTTTAGTACTTTATGTGGTTTGTAAGTGCCATTTTTAATGTGCAAATTGCTTCATTTTGGTTATTTCACTATAATACTTTTTAACACATTTTCAATTTTTTCATGAAAATTAGCATGAATCTGGGCGTGCTGCTTTAACAATACCGATATTACTAAAGAGTTAATTCAACTTTAATGAGAATTCTCATAGAATAGCAAGATCAATAAACATTTTGAAAACACTTCAATTTTTTAACACTTCCATTTTTTTAAATAAACAAAATATTCACAATCAAAACTGCTACAGATCTATACAGTATATTTTAAAGCATAGAGCTAGATCTAGATCTCCCGAAGAAAATACAGAAAAGAAAAATAACATTCCTTCAAGATATTTACTTAAAATAGAGTTATATGAAGCATATAATGAAATAAGATTTTGTTCAGATCAAGCAATTGATCGTCATTCAGTATTGAAACTTTTCCCTTTTCTGATCAACAATTATTAAAGTTTATTTGAAATCCCAGATCCAGTCCCATGGATCTCTACGACTGGCAGATGTGATGACGTCATGGATGACGTGGACAACACCATTTGTTGCAGTAAGGTCGCATTGGATTATATCTGAATTGTCAATATAGATTGTATCTCGTCGTGTTCTGCCAATACGGAATACATCGCCAGAAAGGGTTCGAACCTTCTGAGAGTCAAACCAGTTAGCACGTATCACACCCGCACAGCATATCGAATCTAAAAGAAATAAAAAAAAATATTTTCAAATTTACAGTCCAAATATTACATTGCACACATTGAAGTAGAATTCCATGACATACACAACAATAGGACTAATTTACGAAAGCTGATCTAGATCTATATGTCTATCATTATATAATGAATGTACAATTGATTGAAACTTCAAAATTATAAAATGTACTGTAGATCAATACGGCAAAATGTAATTGGTTTTATTGAGCCTGTACATGAATGGCAGTAGTTAATGAAAGCTCCTAACCATACTCCAAAGCACCGGTTGAACAGTAAAGCAAAATTTTCGCCGATCTATGTATTCATGGCATGGAAACTTCACTGTATCATAAGGCAGTGTGTTTACTTTAAAGAGTACCATAAATGAGAAAAACTGACGGATCGTAACAAAATGGACTTGGAATTTCGGAGAGTTCTTGGGTAATGACAGCACAAGTTTATAAAATATGCTTACCTCGTGCCACGTGGTTCAAAAGAACTGACTTGAGCGTTTCTGGATTTTGTTTAAGCTCGTCCACTGCATCACTTCCAATAGCACTAAATGCCTAAAATAAAACAAGGATAAATAAACAATAATGAAATACAACATACATATAGCTTTGTCAATGTTTGTTACATTACATATTAATTGCAATCATATCTATAGACAGAAGTTGTAAATGTCTCCAAATACCTGATTTGTTGGGGCAAACACGGTGTATGGACCATCCTGTTGAAGAGTGTCTCCTAACCCTGCAATCTTGATGAGTTCAATAAGAGTTGAAAACTGCTTATCTTGAGCTAAAACATCAAGTACATTTCCTGTAGGGGGTACCAATACCTACAAGAATAAAATGATACAAATTTATATAGATCTACCCAAATCTACTTTTTTCAGACAAAGTTTGCCAGGTTAATTAATTTAAGGTACTAGGGCCTATATGCATTACATAATACTAAAAGTAGAAATGGTAACATTTTACATTGAAATTTTCACTGAATTACTATATTACATATGAAACCAAAAATACGGGAGTTGTTACCTTGTCAATAACATACATTGTACCATGGCATCCTTTGATTGGAGTACTGTCAATCTGTGCACATTGTACCGTCTGTGTCCAACTACGACCAAATGGGAACTTGGAACAAAAAAAAAATCAGGATGAATAGAAAATAATTTCTATATTTGTTTAATGTTTGAAACCTATATAGCAACGAAAAGTTAATGGTATAATTAATTGTACAAAATTCAGTTATTGATACATCACTAAAACTTATAGTAGTAACATTCAATGATATTAAAATTATCTGTCAATTAATACCTAAAATTCCATTGCCTTTTATATGATTATATTTCTGCATATATTTTGTTTCATTTCTGTATTTTTTCTTTTTTTCTATTTTCAAAAACATAAAGAAGTTAATACATAAAGTGCATTTGTTCGTCTGGTGTTGCCTTTTCAAATTGTGTGTGTCGACTAGGTACAGGGGAACTACTCTACTTACAGAGGAATATTCATTGATTCGAAGTTGCGTCCCTTGTAGAGAATTAAATTTTTGATTGTTGTAGAGCTTGCTGCAAGAAAGGACTTCTGGGACGATATGATATTTCAGAATTTCCTGAAGCCCCTCTTTGTCCTTTGCAAAGTTAGCAACAACGCGTGAAGACAGCACCTGCAATAAATATTGTTTCTTAATATCTGTATGCACCATGTACCTCAAACCTTTACCAAGAAAGATGAAATTCGTGGAATAAGTGCTTGTGTATTTTTACTTATTTAATGATATATTACAACATAGTACAATATTTACAAAGGGTCTTAGCCTACTTGAAATCCAATAAATCGTTTACTTCAATGGCGTCGAGTCGCATATGATTTACACTTACTTTAATAGCGTCGTTGCTAGGTACAAACACTGTGACATTTTCTGTATTATGTAGTTCTTTTTTGAGATCGGCAAGATCCACAAGCTTGCCAAACTCTACGAGATCATTCTTTTCAGCTATCTGGAGCAAATTCAGAGCTGAAAAAAATCATTTAGATTCCATGATTTAAGAAATTGGTGCAAACTAACATTACTGTCTCAAATTTCAAAATCCGTCATTTAAATGGTTTAAGGCTACACAATTATTATTTTAGAAGAAATTACATTTACACGCTTACTATTCAAAATCTTATTAATTAAGCCTATCTTAACTGATTTTAAATACAAATTTGGATAGTATTTTGTAAATAAAGTATTGATCGTGTTTTGTATATATATGAAGTAGTTTATATCCCATTATATTTGAAATACCTTCATCTGGTATAAGAACATCGTCTAAGATGTATAGAACACCGTTTGTAGCCATGACGTCAGAAGTGATGATTTGAGCGCCATCTACATACAACTTGTCGTCTGCATCTCTTGTCAGTTTGGTTTGTTTATTCAAGATATTAGGCGTTTGGGTATCCCCTTGGATAACTGACGAGCAGACAACATTTGGCAACAAGTGATTCTTCAAAACATCTAAAATAAATATGTTTATAATATAGATAATACATTATATCTTTTTCACTTCAATTAATAATAAATGTAAACTTGTAATATAAGATTGTACTGCAGTTATGCAATCTGCTTTTTATTGGTTAAATGTATTGTAATTTAGCTGATATTGAGATGTATATAGTTACATATTTCTGTATACAGAAATAAATATGAAAGTGATAAAACACAGTTGAGACTTATAACTGACTGTTGTAAAACACTAATTAATAACACCTACTGTCCATGCAGCTCGGGTTCGATATTATTTTCATCAAGAGATCCTTGTGCTTTTTGAAGGCAGCATCTGTTGGGGCAAACAAAGTGTACTGTCCGTCTTCCCTGAGCGAGGCCCCAATGTTCGAGGAACCCAAAGCTAATAATTGTAAACAAAGTATGATTATTATTATATAGACTTTAGGAGATAAGGTTTAATTTATAGCTTTCTTTTTAATTCTTTATATAAAAACATATGGTTTACATCTAGTACCAATGTCAAGTGACTGTGAAGAGTTTCGATGACTCAAGGGACAGCAATGACTGTATACTTAACTTTAATATTCTTTGTCATGTGAAAAACATGAAAAGGAAATGAATTTGTTGCTTTTTACCTTACCCGAGATAAGTGTTTTCCGTTTTTTTTTAATGAATCATGTCTCGTATAACACACATCACTTAAACAATCATACAAGTAATAAGGAAATAATCGTCGAGCGATGATGTAACACTGTATTGGTCAAGTACAGATAGATGATAGATAGAGATAGATGGGGAAGCACTTACACACTTAGTAAAAAATCATTTTATCCAATGATGACACTTTCAACATACTTATGTATAATGTCCTGTTTCAACTGAAAATGATAAACCTGCCTGTTTTAAGAGTGCTGAGTTCTGGATTTTTCTGTATCAATTCAAGTAACGTCTCTGTGACGGGTTCAAGCACGTCGTCTAACACATGTATAACACCATTCCTGGCAATGTTATCCGCTTGTTTAACCTTCTTACAATTAGCTGTCAGCAACTAGTTGTTTAAAATAAATTTACAATGTAATAATAATAATCAAGTTTAATGTTACAACAAAACAAGGGCTAACGAAATCTTTATAAAAGCCAAGCACAATGTTAAAACAAAACAAAGCTATGACAGTATTTTTATGATAACTAAAAACAATCTTAAAACAAACAATTGGCTAACAATAATTATCTCCAGAGAAAAAAAATCGTGATTCCTTGAAGAATTACTCAACAGGAGTTCCATCGCAAAAATAGGACGAATGGATTGTTTGGTATAATTAGAAGACGCATAAAACTAGCAATAATCACAGATTAAATAGAGGATACTTGTTTAGTTCAGTGTAAGATCGGAATATATTTCACCGAGTGAGCACCAAAAGGTATATTTCACGAGTGGCGCAGCCACGAGTGAAATATGAACCTTTGGTGTTCACAAGGTGAAATATATTTCGATCTTACACTAAACTAAACAAATTTTCTTTTTATTATATGCAAAGAAACGTTTTAAAAAGACATTTAACCTAATACTGAATGAAAAGCGCGCCAAATAATAATACAACGTGACGTCATTTACGACGTCACGTCATTAAAATGGTACCCAGTTCTGTGCACGCTGGTATTTCACTGAAACAACGTAAGGGGCTTAAATTCAAAACAGTGAAATTATCAAAGTGGTAATTTCACTGTTTTAGCAGTGAAATTACCAGTTTTTATATCACTGATATATTTCTATAAATCACCGAAAAGCATGTAATAATATGTTTTATTACACAATACATTTTATATGGTGTTGTGTAAATTAAATAATAACAGCGCAGATAATAACAGTAAATAAATTTTACATATGTTTGTGAGTAACAGTAAAATATCATCACAAGGAAAATAATGGCACAGTGGAATGATATCTTTACTGTAACTCACAAACCTATCTGTTATATTCATTTTATTACCCAGAATAAATACTTCATTTGGACACCGGTTCTAAAGGTTTTCTTTTTTAGATCCTAACAATGCAAAATTTTTAGTCACGTGGTACATTTGAATTCAATGTAATAATAACTCCCATTGACTTATGGGAAATTAACATTACAAAATATTGCGGGGAAATAAATAAGAATGTTACCTGGACTGGTTGTTGATAAACGTTCATTCTTATTGTTGATTTTAACGGACTGGCAGTTTCAATAAGCATGTTGTCATTGATTTGTGATGACGTCACCATGCCGACAGTTACATGGCCAAGAAGAAGGTTCCTTGTGTTGTTAATGACAGAATCCTTAATATCCTCCGATACCATGACAACCGAACCTAAATCCTAGTCATCATAATAAAATGAGCCGTGTCATGACAAAACCAACATAATGCGTTTGCGACCAGCATGGATCCAGACCAGCCAGCGCATCCGCGCAGTCTGATCAGGATCCATGTGTTCGCTTACGAACCCTATAACAAGTAGAGAAGTGATAGCGAACAGCATGGATCCTGATCAGACTGCGCGGATGCGCAGGCTGGTCTGGATCCATGCTGGTCGCAAACCCATTATGTTTGTTTTGTCATGACACGGCTCAAATAATAATACAATACATGTATACAGAAGTTACATTTCAAATGTCTTTTAGATTTGAAGTCTGTTTTCTTTTATCTTTGTTGTTGAAACCGACTTTTTTCTAGATAAACTATAAATACATGTATTCTGGATTTACTGTTCTATGAGTATGGTTTATTGCATTTTCCCCAAACTCTCATTTACATAACATTTTATAATAATGTATATTGCTTTGTCTTAAGTATCATATGGCAAACCTCATTATTAATATTCTAGTTGAACTTTTAGGTAATTTAATTAACCACAAAAAGTCTGTTACCGTAAGGTCAACAGTTGTCTCCATTTCCGCAATGAGGGGCAGGAACATTTTCACGGCCTCGTCCGAGGGCGCAAATATGGTAAAGTTATTAGTTCTAGAGAATAGAACATCTGACGAGAGGCCGGAAGTTTCCAACAACTTGATCAACTCTTCCAGCTTCAAGTTTTCTAGAAGTGTCGGGATGTCAAACAAAGGTACTTCTGTAAAAAAAAGTCAACTTTTTGATATCGCAAATACTTAGAACAGACACTTACAAACTATTTTCAACGCACTTAAAATGGTGATAAAAATCAGCAGACATGTAGAGATGTAAAAGTGTACTTTCAATTAAAGTACTAAATAAATTAGTGCACCGAAATCATTTGAAGAACTTAGTATATTAAAAGCTTTTGAAGTAGTTATTGCATCAAAAGCATTTGAAGTACTCCGTGCATCACATCAACACAAGTTTATTGTCTTGACAAAGCAACAAAAAAACAAACAAAAAACAGAAAACAAATTGAAACTATAAACAATATGTCTTGACATTTCGTTAAATTTCATTACTGGAAACGTTCTATTTCGGAAAAATATGAGTCATTTGTTTTCTTAGTATTCATTAACATGTACTTGATATTGTAAATAGACTGTTCAAGTCATTTTGCTTATATTTATTTCCGTACAAAACGATCTAAGTAAACAAGTTGTTATTTGTTAAAACTTTATACTGTTATCTTATATAAGTGCAATTGTAATTTGTTTTGGTTTGGCGAAAGTTTATTTATTTTCAGTTCGAAAGTGGCTGCAAATTTTGCGCTATTTTGTTTTTACGCAAGTATTTTTTTTATTTCAACACATTGATATTTAAACCATTGTTGGAAGATGTTTGGCCTGACACATGTCTCCATCAATCAAGACGTCACAGATACATATGTGTCTAGTTGGGTATTCATATACTCAGGTTTTATATACGTAATGATTGTACTAATAAATATCAAATTTAATCAGACAGGCTACTCAGATACGCAGAAATAAAGGGTCGTATAATACTATCTGCTGCAGTGATGTAACGTATATATTACCTTGCAAACAACCAAATTCATCCTCGTGTCTAGTAAAACCAGGACAACATTCGTATAGTTCCACAGTAGTTTCTTTACCACGTGGAGTTGACCGCCTGTAGGACAAAAACAATGGTTTTATTCTAAGATTTATGATGAACCGTTTATATTAATTTAAAAATTTTGTATACAACATTGATAAAAAAAGATGAGATAAAAGAACTCTGGATTTTACACAAAGCGACTTAATGAAACATGAAAATTTGTACATGTAGCGCCATAATACAGCTGGGGCTGAAATCAGTTCTATAATTTTCTGTGATCATACATAAGACAGACAACAAACATGGCATTGTTCTACGTTATTATACCGTACGTTTTTGTACATTTGAAGGTTGTGTCAGTGCCGTCACAAATTAACGACTGGCTACTAAAATGGGTATGTATTTCTCCCGTGTTGTTTTGGACGCTCTCCTTCATTGAGAAACACACGTTTGGTCTGAAATAAATAAGCAGATTATGAATTACAGCCATTTGATAATTGTAATATTCTTGCGACAATAAACAGATTATAATCTCAAGACATATGCTTCATAATTTGAGAAGAGACTGCCCACCGTGCCTAGCAAACTTCTAGCTCAAAGCTATTGTAATGTCTTGAGATGAAATCAATATCACTTTAAGCAAACTAGAGAACGTGATTCTTGCGTGAAGACGAGAACATAACAACTTATTATTTCATAAATAATTACAGTAAGATCTTTTTTCCTAAAAATAACCAGACTTCTTTTTAAATTAATTAGATACTTATAATAAGCATAATAAATATAATTTTCTACATTTTTTCTATAAATTAGATACAAATAATAAGCATAATAAGTATAATTTTCTGTTTGATAATTTCTAAGATACATGTGCCATCTTACACTTAGAATAAAGGTATCTCATAGCAACAGATATTTCTTGAATGTAAAGGTAACACGTTATCTTTTCTTTCTTATAGTTTACAAGAAAAACACATCCTTTCATACAAACCATCAATTGTTACCAAATAAATAAAGTACGGGTCCAATCACGTGTGTCCCCTTGATGTATTTAAAGCGCACTTAAAGGACGTTTAATTTGAGCTTATGTTTTCCAGCTTTGAACAGTATCCAGCTAAAGTGCAGTGAATCAAACAGACCAACACTATCACTGCAAGTTTCATCAAACAATTATCACATCCGCTGTCAAGTTATTGTTGCCTTGATGTCTTTAAATGTTGTTCAATAGATCATCGATCGTAAGTTCACAAGTTTTAGTTATAAGTGTATTAAACAAAAAGGTCAACAAAATCACATGGGAATTTCAACAAATATTCATCATATTCGCAAAAGTATATATCTTACCGTCAAGTTGATTTCATATATACATATATTTAATGGTCTAACACATGTCAGCATAGAAACAAGGTGTGGATTTATCACGGCACATAGATATCATATAACATTATAATACCTACCCTTTCCACCATGACATATCTTTTGTCTCCCCAGTCCAACTAAAGTCTAGCCCGAACCATGGATCGCGCTTTGGTCCAATATCAAAACTGTAACGACCACCATGGAACCTATAAATATATAATATTATATATTATTACAGTAGTGTTCATGGAAATTGAAGACTGCATTGACAAATACTTATTTTTTGCGAAGAAATACATAATAAGGATATGCTATGGTTGTAACAATGCCATGTTTATTCGGATATAATAACTTGTGACTAGTATTGAGGTGTTTCTACGAGTATTAAAACAATACAATTTGATACAAATTGTTGATCTCTGTATACAACGATTACAACACATGTCATATTTCTTATGTTTAACATGTATATTTAAGACAGTATCATGTACAATTAATAAGTTTATATGCCATTCTTTATTTCTTGGAAAGTGATTATCCACGAAAGCTAAATGCACTTGTTTTTCTCTTGTTTATATGATAAGTGATTGTTTGTAAACGGATTATACTCTTCCCGGGAAACCGGGAGAATACTTTGTTTGTTTTTGTTCTTATCTTTATCACTTCAGATAGTGAGACTTAGAATATACTCGAAATGTTGTGATGTGTACATTTTTAATATTTTCAAGGAAATGGTTTATACTTCACCAGAGTTAAACAAAATAGACTGTTTCCGATTGTATCAATATTGCAACTTACGAACAAAAACTATTCCTGAATTTTATCCCTTAAAGCAGCATGCCTCCAGATTCATTTTTGAAAATTCATTTAAAAGTTAAATATTGTGAAGTGAACAAAGAAAGTAATTTACGCAATGTAAACGGCAATTACAATCCACATAAATTACCAAAAAGAGGTCAAAATATGAACACAAATACCTCTTAGTAACGCAGTAGAATAATAGTGATTGATACCGCAAAATTAGTCATTAATCGAATAACATTAAATTTTAAATATGAATTCTAATTTTGCTTATTGAAATGCAGTTTTAAAAAGTCACTGAATCTAAATACTTATGGCACTCATTGAGAAACAACTTTGGTTGACCACTGGTCAGACGCCTGAATTATGCGCCGGTCATGACAAAACTATCCCTATTCAGTTCCTCTACTTGTTACAGAGTTGTAAGCGAACAGCATGGATCCTGATCAGACTGCGCGGATGCGCAGGCTGGTCTGGATCCATGCTGGTCGCAAATCCATTATGTTGGTTTTGTCATGACGTGGCTCATATAAAGTTTAAAATTATTTCATAAATCAAGTAATTCACTTATAATGGGGAAAAAAGATAATAAAGAAATAAATCCAGAGTTTAATTCAGAACACACAATTCTTTGCCCGGTTTGTTTATGTTTTTTGGTGATTTTGCACAAGAGAATGGTCATTCTGTTAAAAGGAAGTGAGGGTATGGTCCATAAGTGTCGATAACAATATTTTCAGTTCCTTCATGTCAAAAAAGAACCAAGGAGAATCCCTTTAAAATTTGCCCTAATATTTTGGAGATTTATTTCAAACGTAATAGACTTGATTTTATTCCTGGTATTCATTTAGTATGATCTGGTTTATGTAACTAATTTTGTTTGTATTAAAAATAGATGCTTACCATACATAAAAAAGAGAAACTCATTTTCCAACAATGGATCAATTTATAAATTAAATATTTTTATTTCGAAGCGATCATTTGATATAATAACTGGGGAATTCTCTTAAAAAAATGTTTTTCATTGAAAACACTGAAAAAGGTAAAAAAAAGCTGTATATAATACGATAAAGAAAAGAAATGTTTTGAATGAGCTCGTGTTATGTATACATTTTATATCTGTTAAGATCATTACTACTTCTGTTCAAGTGGTTAACTGATAGTTGCTTTTTAAAGAAAAGTGATGATGTTATGACTGTTAAATTACAAACTTTATAAAATGAATGCATAGATTCAACATAATTATTTTATTATTAAACGATGTTACCAAACAAAAAAAGGAATTTTCGACAATGGATCTTAAAATCAAACTCGCATTCGCGCAGTATATCGAGGATTTCCCTGCTGTTTCATTGAAAACCCTAAAAAGTAAGAAAACTAATACGCGAAAAGAATGGATCCTGTATTAGACTATCGGATCTACACTTGTCTGGTCTGATATGCTTTTAAGAAAATATGATGTTTGGTTTTTTTGTCGTATACGGCTAATATTATATATGCCTTATTCAGTTATTCAGTGTAATGTGGGTATTTTTGTGTACTGTAAATGATCATTTCCCACCAGTTGTGGGCCTTATTGCACGGTCTCTATTGATTAAGTAATTCAGGAGTAGTTGCCCCTGTTTGTACGGTTCTTAAGGTAACATCTAAAATATCAAGAAGAATATGTGTACTTTCCTTTTTTATTTCAAAGAGTTAAACACATGTAAAATCCAACATAAAGTGACTTTACTAAGGAAAGACACACTTTTTAAGTAAAAACAAAAAAAGGGTTCGAACCAATCACCTTTGATAATAAAATAACAACCAATCACAAATTATTTATCAAAATTTCCTGGACCGAACCACTGCTGGCGGCTTGTGCCGAAAAAGGTGTTTAAATACTTTTTGTTTGTCTTATCAAACAAATGTGGCTTAAGCCGGAATGGCTGTCTTGAGTCGGAATGAATGTCTTCAATAAAGATTTATCATCAAATTTGTACAACAGATTACTTATCAAAATATGCATTTCTTAGACTGCCAAACATTCAATTGAGAAATGTAAGACACCTTTAGCCTGTGGCAACCAAATGTGTTTTCAGATTTTTAAAAAATACATTTCAATAGGAAAATGACAAATGCATTACATAAATGTACAAATATTATTTTATCGACAAAGATTTGCCGAATTTTCATCGCATGGAGAAAGACGCAAATAGGCATCTAAGAACCACCGACGTTCCGTAGGCTAGCTGGATGGTTCAATTGAAAGACTTCAAATCACCTGGCGGGATTCGAACCTATAGCCGTAAGGCTAGCTGGATGGTTTCACATGAAACAATTGAAATTATCTGGCGGGATTTTAACCTACACCGGTGAGGGCAAGTGATTATCATGAAAACACAAAAGCCTTACATTTATTCAAAGAAAAAAGACACTCAAACTTGCTAGACTAATATGGTACATTCGAACAGCAGAAAAAAACAACATTTTTTTAAATTATTTTATCTGAATTAGTGAAACTTTATTTCTAGAAACAATTCTTACCTTTGATTGAACATATCAGAAAAATGATCAAATGTTCCCATTCGCCGTTGATTCCTCATTTTGCGCCTTCGTTCTCGATCCCCTCTCGAACCTTTCCTTCGTTCATTCCAGCCCGGTCCTGCCAGGCAAACATCGAGCACTACAGCGACCAGTATAAACACCAGAACGTACTTCATGATTGTGTTAACAGTTTCGCGACAGAAGCGCGAATGCAAAAGCGAACTATTCCTTTCTACTTTAACAGCTAGTGGATTGTTCCATTCCTTGAAATGTGTGAACAAAGCAGGAAAAAATGAACGCAAAAGAGACTTCTCTTTTATAGAAATAAGCTACTTATGTAATTGAAAATACCTGTTTTACCCAAGTTGTAAGTGAACTTTGCCATATTATTGTTTACTTTATGTATGATTCAGAGGTGCATGTTCTAAATCATGATTTGTACTACGGTGGATGTAATGGACCATGACGGTAATTCGGATGTAAGTAAAGTGTTTATATACATTCCAAACGCTTCTTACAAATATATACTACTATATGTCGCACTTTGAGCATCATTTTGTAAGTATATTTCCGATGTTAATGATTACGCAAAAGGCAACATAAATACATTAAACTTCTTGTTCAACATTAGATATCAATTAAAATTTTTTCTGAACATGTACTGATAGAAAAATGATTGTACACAGTAATTGTACTTCCGCAAATGGGTCCTTGTCAAACTTAAAGATTCGCATCTTGTACTAAAAATAAATATAAATGTTTTATTTTCAAATCGTCTCATATCAAGACAGTATTGTCTAAATCTTACATTTCAATTTCCTTCCAATAACTATAAAATTTAAGAAAAAGGAAAAAAAATCATCAATGATAAACTGTACATAACATAGCCTTAGGAATAAAAAATCAGCTACACAAAAAATGTAACTTTCAAAATTCGAATAATTGCAAAACGCTTGTTGTTTTGTAAACCAAGTAATTTTCTTTAACATATCCGTAAGTGTACCAGAAAAAAAACACAATTAGTAAAATAGGAATAAGCAATGGAGTATATTTTTTCTAGAGTAAAAATGTTTATGATAACTATATTTCAGCATCAAAAACCTTCGATAAGATAATAAAGTTTATTTGAAACTGAAAACGATCTCCAGACATTCTGTGTATATTTAGACAGCTGCAGATGGCGTATACTATTCTCCATAGATACGGAAAGACTTATATAAACACTTTATATAAATACAGATTTTTATCCTGCTTCACATGAAGAGTTTTCCTGGAGTTTATATTACCTCTTTCTAACACCGCAACAATAAGATAAGGAAACTATGCATTTCTTTGTTTCAAGTGCTTAAAATAAACATAATACAATTTTTCTTTTTCCCCAAGCATCTTAGGCCTATAATTTATTTGGAATAAAGTCAAAAAGAAACACACCAAATAACACCGTTACATAAAATATAATAACATCTTTTTGACACTTCAAACATTCACATGTTTAGAGTCGTGCTGTAAGCTAAGAAAAGAAACAAAACATTTATATGGTATAGAGTTTCTTATAAAAGGTCATACATTAAAGAATTTTAAAAACATGAATAGATAAATACTAGAAGAAAACTTCGAAATCCCCATGGTGAAAGATCACATTGGATTTAACAAAGAATAATTCTTGTGCGTGCGTGCGGGTGTATGAGTTTTAATTGTTTTTGCTGTTGTTTTTTGTTGTTGCTATTTTTTTTATACTTTTGTTGTTGTAATTATCTATTGTTCTTTTTTGGGGTGGGTGGGGGGGGGGGTTATCTGTTGTCTTATTTTTATTTTTTATTTTTTTTTTGGGGGGGGGGGGAGCTTTTTTTTTCAAGGTTTTGTATTTATCTTCTAAACAGTCACAAAATTATCGAGTTGTTGCTTGATTTCTTATTCTTGTAATGACACACATGGTCAGTTCAGCTGCTAGCTGCAGTATCTCACACACGCTAAGCATCGACAATCCAATCCACAAACCTAGAGCACCACCAATGCTCGACAAAAATGTAAACGGCTGAAAATATACATGCACATTAATTAAGTTCAATAACCTACTTGAATTATATATACATTTAAATCATAAAATCGTAAATAATGATTAGAAAGTTGCGACAATATCTAGAACTGACTTTGAAAATACTTGATTTATTATCTAGTTTTAATCCACAAGCTGGCAGTGTCAGATTATACATTACCATGATAGATAAATGAGCATACTAACAAAATAGTTCATTCATAAGCATTCTGCTTTGATACTTAGTTTATTCCAGAATTTGTACAAACAATTTTTTATACAAAACAAAAATGAAATTTACGTCAATAAGAGGTTCCTCCACAATAGATTCAAAGTTCAGGGTCTCGTAATAAATATTCAGAAGCAGGAAGTTTTTCCTGGAAAACAGACAGAAAAAATGTAACATGTATACTGGTGTTTTAAATATAGAATAAACTGCCGGATATTGGTTCAATGAGTGTGCATATAAATCTAAGCAAGTGGTTTTTCTTACACGATTAGAAATAACCTGATAATTTGGGATACCGTAAAACATATTTGTTTCACCACGATTGTATTTGGCTGCAGTCTTAATAAGTTATTGCGTCGACAATGAATTAGTCATTACCGTTCGTTTTAATCCTGACCTTTGAACAAATGAAAAGAAACTTTATTATATTTTCCCTTCGTAATCAAATTCAGAACTTCGAAACATTAACATGTTTAAACGAAACAACATACCCCAGTTCTTGGTAATTGTTCAAAATTTTTATTTCCTTGCATTCATCTGCACTTGTCTTACACACCACTTCTTTCAGTATGTCCTAGATATCGTCAATGAGATTTTTAAAAAATGGGGAAAAATAACAGGCTACTTTCAACGATAGATATAACTTACTTTACAGATAACATTAATGAAAGTAACGTCTAAAACGTCAATTTCTTATTTAAAAACATACATAATTGTAACAGAGTAATATAATATTTACCGTTTTGTAAATTATAAACTTGATAAAAGTGTAATTTTGTTATGCTAATAGAGTAAAGTTACTATGATAAAAGTGTTACGTTACTATGATAATAGTGTAATGTTACTATGATAATAGTGTTATGTTACTATGATAATAGTGTAATGTTACTATGATAATAGTGTTATGTTACTATGATAATAGTTTATTTTATGCTTTTCAGTGGATTACTGATTTATCCGTGAAAATTATATTTGGTAATTTCACAGTGAAAATTATCAAAATATAATTTCACTTTTTTCAATGACGAAACTACTTTTTTAAGATTTTCCCCATGTGGTACCTCAATTTTATTTTAGTTGACAATTCTGACAATGTCAGGCTGTTTAAAGAAAAAGCAAAGCTGAAATTGATAAATACCTTAAACGTCAAAAGTAATAAAAAGAAGAAAACTTACTTCTATTCATTCAAATTCCAATCACCAAATTTCGTCTCTAAATTTTTTGTTTCATTTTTACAGTCTGAAAAATACATTCCTTCCACATGCAAACTGCTCTTGATGACATTTGGGCATATTAAAATATCCTACGAGTAGGAACTGCCGTATGCTTTATGAAAAATTGAAAAGCAATGAACAGCTACAGCTCGTAGAACAATTAAAACCCCAGCGTTCCGAGCAAGTTCCAAGTCTTCCATTTTCATAGCTGCTTTTTTTTCATGTTTTCACATCTGTCAACACTTATTTTTTGTCTGTTTCAATCCTCAAATATGTTTTCTTTCTTTTAAAAAGGTGTATGACTAACAATTCCAAATGATATCCCTCATGAATCAAACACAATTATTTTCCTCCCGTGAAATACACAACTTTAAAAAATGGCTGCCGCTTACATTTAAACAAAGCCAGGTCTAATATAAATTCGCAGTAAGTAACAGAAAATATGATGGATGGTTGGAATTTTCTCCTACACGAATTTGTTTGTTTTTATTATTAAAACAAGCGATCATTCATATTTTTTAAAAAACAACATAATTAATATCACTGTCATTTAATGTTGATTGTCGGACTTATTTTTTAGCTCAAGACTTTTTGTTTTTTAATGAGAAATTCGCACAAAAATGGGCCTCTCAATGGGGAAAACAGAATTTTAATATTTATGTTAAATATTATGGAAATTTCGTTTAAACTTGTTTTTTAGCATAAAATAAAAAGAAAATTTGTTTGTTTGTTGTGTAAGATGTAATTTTATTTCATCTCGTGAACTTTAAAAACAGTATTCTCACTCGTGGCTACGCCACTCGTGAGAATACTGTTTTTAAAGCCCACTCAATGAAATAAAATTTCATCTTACACACAAACAAACAAATATCCTCTATGTAATGTTTCTATGATAATAGTGTTGTGTTACTATGATAGTAGTGTAATGTTACTATGATAATAATGATATGTTACTATGATAATAGTGTAATGTTACTTTTATAATAGTGTAATGTTACTATGAAATAAGTGTAATGTTACTATGTTAATAGTGTAATGTTCCTATGATAATAGTGTTTATGTTACTTACTATGATAGTAGTGTAATGTTACTATGATAGTAGTGTTAATGTTACTATGATAATAGTGTTATGTTACTATGATAATAGTGTTTTATGTTACTAATGATAATAGTGTAAATGTTTTATTGATAATAGAGTGTAATGTTACTATGATAATAGTGTTATGTTACTATGACAGTAGTGTAATGTTACTTTGATAATAGTGTAATAATACTATGATAATAGTGTTATGTTACTATGATAATAGTGTAATGTTACTATGATAATAATTTTATCTTACTATGAAATTAGTGTAATGTTACTATGATAGAAGTGTAATGTTACTATGATAATAATTTTATCTTACTATGAAATTAGTGTAATGTTACTATGATAGTAGTGCAATGTTACTATGATAATAATTTTATCTTACTATGAAATTAGTGTAATGTTACTATGATAATAGTGTAATGTTACTATGATAATAGTGTTATGTTACTATGACAGTAGTGTAATGTTACTTTGATAATAGTGTAATAATACTATGATAATAGTGTTATGTTACTATGATAATAGTGTAATGTTACTATGATAATAATTTTATCTTACTATGAAATTAGTGTAATGTTACTATGATAGTAGTGTATTGTCACTATGATAATAGTGTAATGTTACTATGAAATTAGTGTAATGTTACTATGATGATAGTGTAATGTTACTATGATAATAGTGTTTATGTTACTATGACAGTAGTGTAATGTTACTTTGATAATAGTGTTATGTTACTATGATAACTAGCTGTATGTCACTAGAATAATAGTTGTACATGTTACTAATGTATAATAGTGTAAAATGTCACTAAATGATAATAGTGTTATGTTACTATGACAGTTAAAGTGTAATGTTTCTTTGGGATAATAGTTCGCGTATTTAAATATACACTATGTATTATGTAGTAATAGTGTTATGTTACTATGATAATAGTGTAATGTTACTATGATAATAGTGTAATGTTACTATGATATAAATGTTATGTTACTATGATAGTAGTATAATGTTTCTATGATAATAGTGTAAAGTTAATATGATAATAGTTTGTTTTGTTTGTTTGTTTGGGTTCTACGTCACATCGACACAGTATCGGTCATTCGGCGATGTTCCAGCTTTACTTGTGGAGGAAGACCTCAGGTGCCCTTCCGTGCACTATTTCAGGCACGAAATGGCACCTGAGTAGAGCCACCGACGTTCCGTAAGCTTGCTGGATAGCTTCCTCACATGAAAGAATCCAAGGTCCCTGTCGGTATTTGAACCCACAGCGGTGAGGGGCAAGTGTTTTGAAGTCAACGACCTTAACCACTAGGCCACGGACGCCCCTTTGATAATATTGTTATGTTACTATGATAAAAGTGTAATGTTACTATGATATTAGTGGTTATGTTACTATGATAGTAGTGTTATGTTACTATGATATTAGTGTTATGTTACTATGATATTAGTGTAATATTACAATGATTAAGTAGTGTTATGTTACTAATGAATAATAGTTGTTATTATTGTTTACTATGGATATTAGTGGTTTATGTTACTGATGATATTATGTTGTTATGTTACTATGATATAAGTGTAATATTACAATGATTATAGTGTTATGTTACTATGATAAAAGTGTTAATGTTACTATGATAATAGTGTAATGTTACTATGATATTAGTGTTATGTTACTATGATATTAGTGTTATGTTACTATGATATTAGTGTAATATTACAATGATTATAGTGTTATGTTACTATGATAATAGTGTTATGTTACTATGATAATAGTGTTATATTACTTTGATAGTAGTGTTATGTTACTATGATAGTAGTGTTATGTTCCTATGAAATTAGTGTTGTGTTACTTCGATAATAATATAATTTTGCTATGATAAACGTTTGATTTTACTATGATAAATAGATTTTGCGATGATTATAGTGTTATTTTGCTATGATAAAAGTATTATTTTACTATGATCTTACAGCATATGATTTAGATGGCCACTGTCTTGCACTGATCGAAAAGCTGTATTGGACATCTCTGCAAAATGTTAAAGTTGTCATTGTAAAATATATATTAATGATTGTTTGACTTATAATTGAAATCAACTAAATTGGTATGTTACAACCCATATATTACAAAATCATATGTTCTAGTAGAATAATAATATGCAATGAGCATCTTTAATTACAAAACAATACATTAATTGAACAAAAAAGGCATTGGTTTGCATAGAAACATACTTGCATGGATTTTTGCAGTCGCACTTAACTTTCTTGTCATAAAGTGTTTGCATTGCTTTTCTCTGACAAAGTCTGTCTGAAATAAAATCAAAATAACACATCCTGTAATATGTTTATATTAAATTTCGTGCAGTTCCAATTTTGAGTAGAAGAAAACAGTTTACTTATCAAGGTTTCGTTTGACATTGATACCGTGCACAATAAAGATGTTTTGAAAATAAATAAAATTTCTGTGTCACTGTGTCATAATTAGTGTAATCTGTGTAAAAGAAGTAAGCACGGTTGTATGTATGAATGTAAATTTTTTTTTTACAACTACGTTCTAGGTTGCCTTAAAATACGTTCACAATAAAAGATGATACAATACGATTATTTTACCTGATGTCGTGTTACAAATGATGAAAGGTTTGTTAAAAATATCACTGATTGGTTCATGTATATACAGCCAACATCCACATGTCTCAAAAATGTGCAGAGCTTGACAAGCTTCATGACAAGCCTGAAATCAAGTAACTATGTTGTCAAATGAATATATTACACACTAAAAGATGTTTTATAAAGTTTTGTTTTACAAAATTCATTAAAACAATCTTTTTGGTAATGTTCATCTATTTTTATTGCATTGCATTTTTCCGTAACATGTCATACCTTTACACTATAGTTTGCACCAAACTTTTCTTTAAATTTTGTACCAGTCTCACACTGACCGTGTGGATATCCTAGGCGTGTAATGTCCGTCTGAAACATACAAAATGTTACATATAGGCGTAGGTGCCTAAAAACTTACGAAACGATCCGACTAGGTAAATAAACGGGAGAAAAATACATGAGAAAAATATGTGTATCAATATATGTTTATGCATTTATAAACATGCCTTCGTGGCCATTAACTTCAAGTGGTTTGCTCCTCATCAGCCGAGGGTTAATGCACATTTTTTCAAGCATTCACATCTATCAGCAGATAGCTTATTGAAGGTATATGACTCTTCAAAAGTGCCCGCTCTATATGCACTTAAAGTATTTACTCCACCATTAATTAAGACCTTTGTAGTGCCGGGATGACTTAACACTTTACAAAATTATCTTTGAAATGTTCTTTCTTGAATAAATATAAATAATTTCGTCAGTATAACTTACCATCAATATAAATTTCAGTTTAAGTTATTATAAATATAGAAGACATTCAATTTCGTAAATGAAATGGGACACAATTAATTAGGACATAAAAAAATGTACCAGATACATAAACTGATACAAAGATTTCGATACCTTAATGATATATCCTAAAAACTATAAAGATATATCCAATGAAATAAATATTTACAAATGTTATAACCAGAAAAACAAAAAGTTGTTTCCATATTTTCTTTGGTCGACTCTGGAAAGATTTGTAACATAGAGCATCAATGTTAATAAAAAAAACATGAGTTTGTTGTATGCAGTTAAAAAAAATTGTCTGTCAAACAGCTATTTTGATAGTATTTTATTTTAAAATTCAAAATACCTACAGACAGCAGATATAAAGCTTTTAACTTGCCGTAGATTATTTTTATTGTGGTGCATCTTGCCAAAATGTTTTTCTAAAATACCGATACCTATAAAGGAACAAATGACTCTTTTGAGATACCCTTTTCATTGCAATGTCTGTTTCAGAGTTAGCAGCTACAAAAACACCATCATCATCTGGTAGTGGAACAGTTCCACGCTCGTTAACAATAACTTTGACACCGTAACCATTCGTTAGTCCAGGGATAAACTCGCTAGTTTGTAGATATAGAAGGAGATAAAGACCTGCAAATGCAATTATGTGGATATAACTATTCATATGTAAATTCATATTGACAACGCATTGAAGAGACTTCACTAGGGTTTTTTGCATGACAGGACTGAACATATATATTTTTAAGATTTTTATACCGTTTGATGTATGTTGGTATAAGCCAATAATTTGCGTTAGCCAGTGTAACAGTATTTTTACGAGGGATGATATTTTTACTGTTACTCACAAACCCATGTGTTAATTATCTTACTACCCCGAACAATAACTGTGATGATTTTTTTCTTTAGAAATTAGACCATGTGACCAGATTTTGATACTGATGCCATGTAACGGAACAAATTTCTTACTCACATGGTGCACTTTCATTAAAAGTATCACTTACAACCAGTAGCCTATGGGAAATTAACATTACACAAAAGTGAGAGAAAAAAATACTTACTCATACCTAATCTTATTTAAATGAAAATGGTTAATATTCGTTATTTAGAATAAAGTCCTTTCTATATTTTTGCAAATATTTTCAAAGTTATAAGCAAATCAAAATAAGCTGTATTTGTGTTTTGGCTGTATTTTTATATGTTACCTCCATCAGGTCCTGGTCTGTTTACATACATGTCATCAGAATCTATTGTGTAACAATTACCATATGAAGCTGTCTGGAATAGCCTGAAGTTACTGAAAAGTAATAACAATATCAGGAAATAATCCCAACTGTTTACGATGTTGACATACTTCACAATTTTCTACTTTTACAATAATGGTCGAGGAGGGGATAAAACCAGAGATATTAGTACCAACAACAATAAAATAGATAACAATAAATTTGAGTACTTACATTAAAACATCAAAAATATAAGTACATCTGTATTTCTCATATAACATCACTCTGTAAAACAGTACTATCCTTTATCACATGCAATGTGGTAATCGTTTTATGAAATTATACTTTATATACAGTTGCAGGAAATACAGTGAGTTGGCCAATAACGGATCACTAGTGAAACTTTTAGTGTTTATGAACGAATGATTTTTGAATTCTTAAATAAATTTATGTAGATTTGAAGTATTTTTATTCCTCTTTTCCTGTATACTTCTTGTGAATTTGTATTCTGAATGCATCATGGTGCATTTACCCTTTCCAAACATCTAGTAAACATGCCAATAACAGGTCAAATCAGCCATTAGCGGATCACATGACATACGAATAGGGGATTGTCTCAAAACACGAATTTTCTGTCAAATTTGTCTGGAACAAAGAAAATATTGCACAAATATATGTCACCTCTGAATATCAGAGTGTAAAGGGTACCACTAAGTAAAGAATTCAAGAGGCAACTGAATGATTGTGGTCAACATAATGTTATGAATGTAATAATGGTGAACTATATAACTGCTCTCAATGATTTGTGTAGGCAACAAACACAAGACAAATGGTTGACATTAAATGCATATTTTTTTTTCAGGATAACAGGGACAAAGCAGCTCATGAAAACACCTTCTATGTAAAACTTGATTTAAGTAACTGTAACCTAAATGTGTTGTTGTTGTTGTTGTGAAACAAAAGCTTAAAGTGCAATACCTAGAAATTTTCATTTTCTTCTATGTGGTCAGTATGATTAGGATATACTAAATGTAAGAATAACAAACAAAATTTTCAACATATACTGCTTTACTCCTCCTTAGAAAAATCTGCAATAAAAAACATTTAAAACATTTGAAGTCACATATTCTGTAGGAATATTTCAGTCACAAATCATGTTGGCAATGATGTAAAGGAACATATATTTAAAGTTTGAAGAGATGGATACATTAAGAAATAAAAAAGTTGCAGTAAAAAATAAGATTTTTAATGATAAATCTTAATCCAAGGGGAGATAATTATGGAAATAGTTTTGCCAGAGTTATCAACCTTGTCACATCAGATGTGGTTGATGATAAGGAACATTATGATTTGAAGTTTGAAGTTGACGCTTTAAGAAAAAAAATGTGCATGTAAAAAATATTTTACTGTAAAATTACTGCATAAAAATCTTAAACTGAAATCAGGACACAGACGCTGGGTGAGGACAAGTCTCAATATATATGTCATATAAATAGCTGAATTGAAACAAAAATATGTTCTTTGTATCTGATTTATTAAATAACAATCATTTATGATGTTATATAGTCTGGAAAAAAACTGGATACCTACAGCTACGTACATGTAACCTGGAACAGTATTTCACTGTTGCAGCTGTTTATACTGCATAAAATACTTTTTTTGGCATGGACTGCATAATTCAGTTGTAATAATAACATAAATCATTTAAACTTTATATTATTTATTTATTTATTTGGTCTACAAATTTTCTTTAAAAAATATTTTCTATAATAGTTTGGATAACTTTGAGGCGGTCCCTTCCTATAAATTGCATGATCCGCTATTGGACAACTCGGTGCAATTCATTTGAATAGCGCTATCAAAATAATTCCTAAAGTTTTTTTTTAAACGGTTGGTGTTGCAGGAAGTTAACATATTGGGCATCAAATGTCTACCAGCTTTGATCCAATATCTTTCGAGTTTTTATGATAAATAATGCAACAATTTCAAACATGCGTTGTCAACGGCGCTTAATTTCACGAGAAACGGAAACGCTTGGTTAAGCATCTGAGTGAATCTGATATCAATTACACGGATGTTTACATTTTTTGTCCGCTGTCAAGTAGCTAACATCCTAATGCACATGCCTGTTAAGTAAAAACATTTTTAAGCTCAAAACTGTTTGAAGAATACTCTGTTTAATTACTGACTGATCCGTTATTGGCTATGATCCGCTAATGGCTAACTCACTGTACAATATAAAAAATTCTCATTTTACGAACTTTTGTCCGTTCAAGCTGTTTGACCGTGAAATAAATGATACTCGTACAAATGTCACATCAAATTTTAATATGGCCTTTTATCTAATACTTTATATTTGATGTATGCTCATCCTCTCGTTAGGCACAAAATACAGCTTTCGTTGTCAAGTACAGACCTAGGACATTTCAACAGTCATACGTCTAAAGAGTTACTTTTGTTCCACCAAGTGGTGGTAATATACCTCTATGCAATTTATGATTTTTTAGCCGAAAGTAGGCTACTTTCCAGCGGTAATAAATACCTTAACGCACAGTTACCAGTGACAATAATGAAAAAGGCTAGCTCTGAAAAGGGCTGTTTGTGTCAGCATAGGTCGCCGCTGTTTAAGCAAACCCTTCGTACCAGAGCTCATGCACCTTAGTACCCTTCCTAGTCGTCCCTCCCACATTTGAGGGCCATATTTAATTTGGCTTCTGCCATCACTCAGACTAAGCCATATACCTTTTACTTAACCGCGAGCTGTAAAAAGCATGTGGTCGTGCACGCATCAAATGGAATGAAAGGCCGAATATTGAATTCAAGATGAAAAGTATTTTACTCATAACGAAAAATTTTTGGTTAAAAAAATTTTAAAGTTCGAAAATTACATTATTGTTACAAAAACCAAATAGTTTTATTCATGTGCCTCTAATGCTATTTTAACATGGGTCGATATTTCATTAAGGTACAATGTCGCAACTGCAATGATTTGATGGATAAGAAAACTGCTGAATATTTTAAATATTCCATACAGAATACTTTAATATCTCCGCTGTTTGTTCACTTTCGCGTGATTTACAGTACCGGAAAACCATCCTTTGGGAATACAGTAATTAAAATGAAACAATTAAATCAATGTCAAAATAAGTTAAGAGCATCAGTCATTGCGCTCTGCTAGTGAAGGAAGGATGTGATGAGATCAATTATATTTTGACATAATCGTTATCTCTTGCGAATATAAACACGCTAAATAATTTACACTGTTTACACGAGGAACATGAAATTACGATCTTTACATTTCATGATGCTAGGTTTGCACTGTTTTTTTTTTTACAATTTTTCCTATTTTACTTCACTCCTTTCATCACATTTTAATATGGAATTTTAGATAAGCTAATGCATTCTTTTAATTCTTATAATTGAAAAAGCTTTTATGTATATTCTGATTTTCTGTCGCAATGAGAATACTCCGGGAATGAATTAATATTAGTACAGTGCTCGCACACAATTTGTCATACATGAACACCTAATACTAATTCAACGAACTAAGCCATTTAACAGTTATGTTAAAAGAATTCAAATAGAGTATAGGTAAAAGAAATTGTGATAAGATTGTAAGTACCTAGGACTGCACGTTTTCCCACTAAACATACATTCAAGCAGCATGTCATTCATGTTATGACCGGCAGCAGCTCGTTCTGACCTGAACAAAAATGTTATGTGTTATAAGAATTTATCACACACCCGTGCCGATTTTGCGACTCCGTAAATATGGTATTGCACGGCCGTGCATATATTTTGACGTGACGTCATTAGCGTTAACAAACATAGTGTAAAGACGCGCTCAATGATAGCGTTATACTATGGGCGCGTCAATGAAAAATGACTCTTATTTTACTTTAAACGGTCTTTATTTTGGGTATGTGATAATTAGAATATTAAATTCGTGTAAGTTCATTACTGAATTTATTGCACTCGTTGAATAAAATAATATTATGCTCGCCAGAGGCTCGCATAATATAATTTTATTCAACTCGTGCAATAAATTCAGTATTGAACTTACACTCATTCAATATCCTCTATATTGAACAAAAATGGTATGTGTCATAAGAATATTGAAGTTGATTATGTAAGTGGCTGAATAATCCCTGGTTTGCATATGTACCGTTGACGGTACTTATATTTGCGCAAATCCACATTGTTTATAATAATAAACTAATATCACTTAAGATTTATATTATTTCCAGGTCTGGAACAAGAAAACCCTGCTTAGTTAGTTTCAAGTAAAATGCCGTTTAAGGAAAATACATATGAGCAGCGTCACGACAAAACCAACATAGTGCGTTTGCGACCAGCATGGATCCAGATCAGCCTGCGCATCCGCGCAGTCTGATCAGGATCCATGCTGTTCGCTATCTGTTTCTCTACTTGTAATAGAGTTGGTAAGCGAACAGCATGGATCCTGATCAGACTGCGCGGATGCGCAAACACACTATGTTGGTTTTGTCATGACACGGCTCATATGGTTTTCTGATTAAAAATGTTGAGTGTTAACTAATGGAAACATGTTTTACAATGTAGCATGAGAAAAAAAGAAACTGCAAACGGAATCATATTTATGTTAGTTAACTGACCATTCAACAGAGTAACTCCTAAACAGACCCAATAAAACGATTTTCAACTATTTAGTATCTTTTGTAATACCATCTTTTCAGATCTTTTATACTAAAAACGTAGGTGGTACGAGCTAAATGACATTTAAAGAGGTTGCCCCGTACTTCGACTCATTGTTAGTATATTTTGACATCAAGTTAAGGATTGCTTAAGTCTCTGTTTTGGGTGAGAGTTCAGGCACTTCCCATTCAAAAGGTCTTCTATTTCAAGCGTTTTGATTTCGTTTTCGAGGGATCTTCCATTTCCAAAATCTTGAACTTAATTTTACATGACAGTTATTTAAAACAATGGTTATATATAATGACTCTATGATTTACATGACTTACTTTGGTAATCCCATATACAGATAATGGAAAATTTCCTTTAATAGAGCTAGAGGAGCTCTGTCATCATTATCATCTGACATTCCACTAATTGATGGAGTCACCGAGCCTTTGTCAAATCGTGACCATTCTAGATCATACAATTCAGAAACAGATCGCTTTGTTCTCTGGAAACAAGTAGATATTGACAAATTCAAGATAAAGATAATAAATGTTATTTCTGTTTCTACACTCAACAACTATTTTCTGATAATTGTTTTTCATCTACATTTTTCTTTAAATCCACAACTCTTTAAACAATTTGAAGATTCGTCATATAAGAAAGTAAGTAAGTAAGTAAGTAAATTGTTTATTAAAGTGACATATGTTATAAACAATAAAATATACAATAATGAAGACAATTATCAGAACACCCGGCCTAATGGGCCATATGTCACCTATCACATTTATACAATTATATACACGTCTTGAAGTGAGATATATATAATAAGTTTTACAGGTTGATATTAAAGAAAGCTTTTGTACATAAATGGTGACACACAATCTCTGAATCAAGACATTCTAATACATGCATATATTTTAAGGATTTTTGAACTACTTATTATAAATATAAGTGATTCTTTTATGATAAGCTTGCACTAGATATTTACTAATTTTGCGTGAATATAAGTTAAGCAATGTCCTTAATTTATCAGTGGTATTTAACGAGGTAAATCGGCTATCTAAACATTGGTTGCGAAATATAGAATGTCTAATTTCATCATATAATTAACATTCAAGTAGGAAATGTCTTTCATCTTCAACGGTGTTCATATCGCACAATGTACATATTCTACGCTCTAGTTCCTCGCCAACATATCTTCCTGTCTTAATCCTTAATGGAAGTATACCTATGCAGAATTGCACGAGCAGTGAACGTTCATTTCTATTAAGATTAAATTGCACATATTTTTTTGCGTAAAGGTTGTTTTAAATGTAACATATGTTCGTAATTTTCTAACAGTAAAAATGTGTTATGCCAATAGATAAGAATAGTATGCTTCTAATTTTTATTTACACGTTTCCATGTTAATATAGGCGTTTTTTCGTCAAATTGTTCTCTCAATTCTAGTTTGTTTAACAGTTCTTTCAGATTACTACACCAATTATTTGCACAGTTTTCATAATTCATTGAAAAGCTTGTTTAGTTAATCTACTATCATTCAATGATAAATGTCTATTCCAGTAACAGATTATACAGTTTCACAAGGTAACCATGCAGTGTCTCCAGTTATTGCAAGGATTGGGGCGAAATTATGTACTCCGAGAAAGTAACGTATTGCTCTATTCTGAACACTTTCTATCACATGACTGTGTTTAAATCCCCAGACTGCAGCCGAATAATCTAGTAATGTATCATATATGTTTGATGTTTACTTGAAATATTCCCTACTACCTTTGTCTGCCTTATGATGATATAGAAGATGTGAACAATAGTCTCTTATTTTTAACATGGTGTAAAAAATGAAGAAAAAATATAGTGAAACTGTTCAATGTAATTCAGTATGAACATAATATCATTAGAAATAATTTTTTTTTCTTCTCTATATAAAAAATACAATTTGTATATTAAATTCGATCATGTGTCTCACACCAACAATATTCATATGTAATTAGTTTGTAGTTTTATTGTCATGTACGATACTAAATCAACATCATCATTTATGGTATAACAGACCTACCTTCATAGAACAATTCGCTTGTAGAATAGTTATATTTTAAACCATTTTTATCAGGCACAATTCCATTTCTATAAGGCAATGTTAGTTTGTGCCTTACCATTCAATTCAAAATGAAAGACAATTTTGTTTACGAACGCTTGGATATGTTTTAATTAACGACATAATGTGAACAGATTGATTATCTTCAAATTATTAATCAAGATAATTCCACAAATACTCCTGTGTATTTACCTCATTACAGTACGCTTTAATAGCTTTTAGTTCCATATAATTTGTTCCCTGTAGAATTCCTTGAAATAAATCTACAATTTGACGGTCTCTATAAAAGAGTATAAAAACTTTATGTCTGCTACTAACAGTTTACAAAATAATCATTTGAATATGAAGGAAAATTCCAAAATATTAGTTAAATAAAAGATTTGTATATTTCTATAAAAGCAAATGACACATACACAAACGTATTTATAAACTGATAAATCCCTACTTAAAATAGCACCATGATATTTTGTTCTGGGACATTTTATTTATAACAGAGGCATTTTATGTTTAAACTATTTCGAGAATCAACCATAAGATAATAAAAGCTATGCATTAATGTTACCATTTATAAGTTTAATAAAAGATATTTCATCATGTATAGCTTCGAAACATTTCTTCTATACCTTTTTCCCGTACAGAAATATATAAATTGGCTGAGTTATTTCAATCACCTATGAGAACTGTAACAACAAATTTTGTAAGTGAAAATATTTTAATCATGTGGACTGATTTGTTACATTCTTATCACTGTAATAAAAAATAACATTTATTTCTGGTCGCAACCAAACTTGGAATCTGTTATTCTTGTTTATGTACTCGAGCACTTACTGAAAGTGATTATTATAGGTTGGTACATTTATGTTAGCCTGAACATGCTATAAAGTAATTAAGGACAGATACATGATTGATACATTGTTACCAAGAGCATTTATGCATAAATGAACAAAAAAAGAACTAAGTACCCTGTTTTAGTTAAATGAGTTCCCTGATACTTGGAGCAAAATTACTACTAAAAGTTTCTTATTATTTACAAAGTCTCTTGTTGTACAATATTGTTACAAATATCATTTATGCATATATGATGTACAAAAAAGTTCAATTTGAAAACTAACTAAGTTCCTTGTTTTAGATAAATGCGTTGCCTGACACTTGGAGCAAAATTACTAATGAAAGGTTTTTTATTATTTACAAAGTATCTTATTAAACAATTCAAATCAAAGCATATTCAAATGTTAAGATGTAAAATAAAAATCTGTAGCTAAAAAGATGATTCTTACCTTGTTTGTAGAATTGAATATTGAGTTATTATTATTATCAATGATATCAGGTTTTAGTTTTCTTAAAAGTGTTTTTGGAGCTACAGCATTTACCAAAGCCTGCAATTCCTGGCTTCCGTATTTTGAAACTTCACTGTTTTTAAGAATGTTCACATTACAAATTGTTACAGCTGGAAATGCCAAGTTATTAAATTCTAGAGAAACCGTTGTTTTCTTCGGCCAACGAGTGAACTGCTCCGTGATCATGTATAAATGTATAATCAAGATCACAATCGCGAGCACTGTAAGAAAAATCCAAAATGATTTCGATACAAAATGTCGCGAGGATTGGATATATCCACAACCATGCATAGACGTCTTTTCCGCAAAACGTCCGAGAACGTTATTTACGTGTTTATTGTATACACTTTTATCATTTTCGGTCTGGCTGCTGTCTTTCTCCTCGTCCATTTTCTCGAATTCTATTTTATTTCTGTTCATGACTGAAAGCTAACGTTATATACTGTCACAGAATAATCGACCCCAATAGAGTCATGAAGCGTTAATTGTCGTGCTTTCTTGTTTATATACTAACTTTATAGCTTTTATACGGTGATGAAAGTGATAAACAAATAAATAATTCGATTAATATAAAAGCAAGCGTGCTATTTATATATGATATGATGATTAATAATTTAACTCATTGTCATTGCTTTGAGACAATTAAATGATATTGATGACGGTTTTTTACGTCCATTAGTTTTCACAAAATCGGACAAATTCACGCGTTTGATATGATATAATCAACTCGCAATATAATTTTGTATATGTAAGCGGGCTTGCAATGTCAGTTGAAAAAAATATTGATTGGAACACAGAACACAATATATACTGTGAATGATGATGTTCTAGTAAAGAAAGATATCTTTCGCTTTGTTCAGTTTAATAATTATAGATCATACCATAACGCCTTGACCGTAACATGTTTATAAATTTTCATAAAAAAACTTGTAATATGAGAATGGACTTACAGCTAAATGCAATTTAAATGCCGGGAAAATGTTTTGTAAGGGTCGTTTTATTATATTAGTTTTCTATTAGAGAAATAGAGTCTCTTCAGTTAATGACCATAAGTATATGAAATCAACTTGATAGGTTATTAAATTTAAATAATAATTTTCGTCATAGCTTTACACATTTTGATATAATACATAGTTCATAAAGGAAGTAATAGTTTAAGATAAAGTAGAACTTTCTTTTAGAAATAAAGACACTCTTTCGATTCATAACAACCGAGGTTGTTTCTATGAACCAAGTAAAACATGACAGCAAAAGTCCACAAACTTTTTGAACATACATTGTACTTCTAAAACCATTATCAATTTTCATTAAATGTCCATTTCATAATTAATCCTCTTTATCAAAATACAATGCAGCGGACTCTAGGCGCGTGCATGCATCTCTAACCATTTAGCAAAGAATACTAACGCATTCCAACATCTTCTACAAAAGAGGTATGAAAAAAGGAAATAAGGGCTAGTGCTATCAAGAGAGCATTAAAACTTTATTGTTTCACATCTGTACTAAGATAAGAAAATTACAATGAAATGTTCAAAATGTATCTATAATAGATATAAATAAAAGCATAAATAGCAACTAGTGATATAACATTCTAACACGACCCGCATTTTCCCCTTGAACATAGAAGGACCGATAAGAAATAATATATCATTAACAGTGATTTTGTCGCTACGCCCTCGTGATATAATTCCTCGCATCTCAAAACAGTGATTTTATTTAGTAATAAAATCACTGTCTCGGGATACATCATTTCTTAAATAAAACGTCTCTTACATCTTAGAGATTGTTTTCAATATGCACAATAAAGAGTGATAGTTAACGTAAATCATTTTGTCACAAAATAGAACTACCAATTATCTTTCAGTTCCGATTTCTTTGTTTTGTATTCTATAGTAATAAGTTGATGGTAATATTGTAATAATGATTTTGATAATAGCCATTCGATATGTATAAAATTAAATGTCCAGTTAGTCCAGAAGCTTTTCTAGAAGAAATGTTCATTCTGGTAATACAAGAAAGGCACGTATGTTCCATATTGCGCTTTAGTTCATGTTGTAAGTTGCACTGAAAAGAAAAAATATATTTATAAAAGTCGACATAAATGCCTGCATATATTTTACGCTATCAGTTGTTTAATATTGAAATTCTCGAGACCTTTAAATTTATACAATAGATAATGTACGATTTCTGATTAAAATATGCTACGAAATAACTTGAACAGTTATAGATTGATTTCAACACGGTTACGAAATGTTTGGACTAAAAGGTTTCTGGGATCATTAAGTAACATTATTTATATATGTCTTTTACAACAACATTTACAGCAAACTCACTCCTGTTCACATATCGGGTGATAGATTTCTTCACAAGACTCATCCCCCAATCTGTAATCAAAGGTATGCCAAAATACTGCACAGTTTGGTTCTCTGACCTGGTTAGGTTGACTTTCATCCCAGGGTATGTATAAAGCATCTTCTCCAGAAGAGGCAAGTTGCCAAGTACTTCCTACAGTAGGCAATCTAAGACCAATCCAGAAAGCTTCATCTAAAATGTTAGATGTAGGTACTGCTTTATTGTTTTGAAGATAAGAAGAATTTTGCAATATAAACCAAGTTTTTTTCACAGAAAGAGAGAGGGAGGGGTGGAGAGAGAAAGAGGGAGGGAATCAATACAAAATAGAGTGGAGTAATGTCATAGTGGAGTATCGTATTAAGTAACGTATATTTAAAGAAAATTTACAAGATACGCCTCATGACGTAGTATGTGTGATAAATTTGGGAATTTCAAGAAATTATAAAAAGCATTCAATAAGAGACGCCGCCACTTACCGGCGTCGCCAATGAATATTGATTGAGCTATCATGGTAATTCTAAACTGTACTCCACCGACATAAACATTATTTATTGTTACAGAACATGATTTATACACGTTTACTCAAGATTTTCCATTGCAAAAGATTTACAGAGCATTTTATTTTGAAATAAGTATAAAAAAATCAAATAAAAAAATACAGCAGAACAATACGTACGGTTGTAGCTTAGCAGTATATTCTTTATATATTCATTTTCAGATGGCGTTTCTATCTCAATAAGGCGAGCTCCAAGTTCGTTACACATGATCTATTACGACAGACAAATACTTCATTAACAAAACATTCCAATAGCAGTTTATGTTTTTATAATAGCATTATAATTTCAATGTTGTGAAGAGCTCGAGAGTAAGATAACGTGATGTTATTTAGTTTTCGTACCTTCTTACTAAATTACCAAATAACATATTTTTTTCTCTTTTATACATTATAATCAAAATAATCTAATATAAAATCTAATAAAAGCCATTATTAAAGAATTAATGAAATATTCTGGCATGGAAATATACGTTCTGCCTTTCGTTATGTTGTTGGTATTTGTTTGTTTTTTGTTGGCTTTTTTGTTATGGTTGTTGTTGTTTTTCGTATAAAGAATAATTTACATAATGAAACTACCGGGCCGTCATTGTAGTAAGTTAATTTATATGGCGTCACAAGTCACGAATATGCAACAACTTTGCGTGCGCAGTTGTTCCGTCAATACATGTTTTGTTTTTTTACCGTTATTGCGCAGTTCATATCCAATATTAAATTACTACTATGACGTCATTCCTTTGTTCTGATCGTACTGTACTTTTAATACAGTACAGGTAGGTGTCCAATATTAATGTGTAAGTCCAATATTAATCGTGTAACACATTAATATCAGACAGCGTGCCGTGCCTTGAAAGAAGCTTGTATGACTACAGGATTTTGTGGAAAATTCTCTAAATATTAAAAAAAACAAACACACACACACAAAATGATTAGGTTAAATGTAGCCTCTTATCTCAGAAGTTAACACAAGGAATGATGCAATGGCTTTCCTTCGCCCATTACGCATTTTACATAATTTTACAAAAAGAACAATATTTGTTATCTGGCTCATTTAACGAATTATTATTATTCCTAAACCTACTGATTTTCGATTTTCAAGCTATTAACATCATATCACTGTTTACGCTTATTGCGGAGCGTCAGTTAGGATATGATTTTTATGGGATTGTTTAATTTCTTGACTAATTTCTTTTTCTAAATACATTAATACGTTAAGTTGACAATCATATGATTTGCTTTATTGTATGTACGTTATGTTTCAGTTAGGTAAGGATAATGTTCAGCTTTTCAAATGAATACAATAGAGAAAATAAATTCATCTATTTAAAACAAAAGTGGTTATGTTTGACTGCTTATATAAAGAAAAGATTCCAGACTCCTGTGGTATGACAAATATCAATTAAAAAAATAAGAAAATATCATTTTGTTGCGTTAATATCTAAAATTTTACATCCTTGATAGTTGTAGTAAAGTTAAAATATCATTTTAACACTAAATAGTCAGTATAAATCCTTCTTAAAAATCATAGATTGTTTCAGTCAATCATTTAAAATATCCGATATTAAACACAAATTTGAAAACATTTCAGTTTTATTATTTCTTGTAAAAATCCCAAATGTAAATTGATGTAAACTGTATGTGTGTAAGTCCAACATTTTGTGTAACTGGTATATTTTGTGTATATCATTGTGTTCATGTACATAATTGGTCATATTTCAAAACACGAAAATTTCATGCTACGGACATTTTGTTTCAAGAGGCTACCTATAGGGTTTTGCAAGTAAGAAAAAGATAATTGCTAAAACATTAATATTGTACATTTCTAGCACAAAAATACATAATTTCTAATTTTTCGATAGATAACATGATATTTGATAGTAAAAGTAGTAATTTAAGTAAGATATAAGCCTCAAACTGACCAATAAGTAAACTATTGAATTCCCTTCGGCGCTACGCGCCTCATGAAATTCAATATTTTACATATTGGACAGTTTTCGGCTTATATCTAGTACATAAAACAGCGCACGCAGGCGCACATTAACGGAAAAGAAGATAAAGCTTCACAACAAAACAAAATGACACGAAACTATATTTTCACCTACATCTGTACAAATTGTACAGTGTTATGTTGTTTGTGTAATATTGCGTTATTTCTAAACATCGCCTTTGCGAAAACTTCTCGGTTTTCTATAAATATATACAAAATGATGAATCGACCAATTGTTTTGTTGTATTTTCTTTTTACTTTGTACATTCAAGATGGTTGAACACGGTTTCGGAAAATCTCACGAAAATGTGGACTTGCAGGATAATGATATCGGTATTAAAGATTTTAAGTGTATGACATAGATTTCTCTCCATTCAAATGAAGCTGTAAATATCGGTCCGTGATATAAAAAATGAGTTATCGAATGAATTTAGTATTATTATTATTTGTGTAACTGAGTAATTATAGTAAAATCAAGTGAGCACGCTCCGTTGTTGCACTTTTTTTATACATGATCCATGTAAAACAGCTGACCATAATGACATAAAAGCAATTTCAATACAAGAAAAAAAGAGAATATTTATATCAAAAACAAACTTCAAAACGAGGTAATACCGTATCAGACGAATACTTTTTGCAAGAATAGCACCAATGCACGTTTTTCAGTCATAAACATCTGCAGGAACTCTCGTATATTCAATAAATAACTCGCTCTGGCTTTGAAAGCGTCTGCGTGCTTCTGCAGATGTTAAAGCACGTGAAAATGTGCATTATAACCATGGCATGCTTATATTTTAAAACAGTTTCAAACGCCTACAAACTTGTCAAATTATATTATTTAAATATTAGAAAATACCTTCTGGCGTAGATAAATAGTGCTTAGCAAATTAAGGGTAAAGAATGTATACGACAATGCGTAGATATTATTCTCGAAACCTTGAATATCTTAAATGAGACCTAATTTTTGTAATACAATCTGCATGGAATATAAGAGATTCTAAATTTGGAATATCATTGTTTCAATTTCTTGAAAAAAAACCTTCAATGTTTACTCGTTTTCTGAAGAACTGCGTGCAGAAAATTAATTTATAAGCGTACCTATTCATTCTTGTTTACCTTTTTTTTGTAGACATAATTTAACTTTTTATGAAAAAAAAATTAAACCCATAAAAATGTACAAATGGTGTGTAGGTGTATCTAATAATAATAATTAAAGGTTCCTATGTATACACCAAGTGTTGGCGATCATGCCAAGATGTTTTAAAAGCGCATGTTTCCAATATCAAAACAAAAGATTACCTTTGCGGCTTCCCATGTATACTTGTTTATTTCAATCAAATAGCAAGAACCGCCGAACTCTATCCAGCCGTCCATGCACCCTCCTGTAATGAAGCATGATTCTGACGTTGATAAAATTATAAATCAATTAACGTAATTACTAATGAGTGGGGTTGGAGCACCGCACTAAATACCATATTCCGGTATATACCGGACAAGGCGCTTGAATGATAAAATGCTAAAATCTTGCCTTTTTACCCAACGGAATGAATTTTAACAGGTCTAATTGATCTTTTCACACCGAATTATGTATGACATTGAATGAAAAATGTAAAAAGCGACGAAAAAAAAAACGATATTTGTCTATTTTGTGATCATGATTTCTGCAAGCGTCTAGGAGTACTGCTCCAATCCTGTATTGAGTTAAATCCATTACTAATTGATTTATCCACACGTATGTTTAAAATGTTATTATTATAGAAATACAGAATTGTGCAATTCTATGGTAAAAGCGAGCACCACGGAAAGTAAACGAACGTACATCAAATTGAAAGACATAAATTAGAGCATACAGTACGGTTGCTTAGACATTATGCATGTACTTTGAATTATATCAACAATGAAATTATTTATTTTTCAGATCATTTGTAAGAATGACGACTTGGATGGCGTATTGAATGCGACTTTTGTGTTTGTCGTCATCGTTAAATACCATAAGGCATATGTTACATCATGGTTTTTGAAATTCGGTGTATGCAATAGAAAGAGCATCGAAACACGAGGCTATCTGATTGTACGAGGGGGCGTAGCCCTCAAGTATTAATCAGATTGCCGAGTGTTTTGATGTTTTTCTCTTTTGTATCATAGTCAAACATATAAAAACATGTTCCCTGTTGTCATAATATGAAACCCCAGAAAAAAGTAACCAATAAACAAGCATCTGAATATAATATTTCTATCGATTTCCCTTTCTCTGCCGTCATAATTTGTAAACCCCAGCAAAAATGAGCCAATCAGTCGGCATGCTCTGGAGTGCGGGTAACTAATACCTACACTCCAGTTAACGCACTGTGCAAGTATATGTATACGATTTAACTCTGACACATTTTCAACAGAAATGTCCCCAAACTATGATACAAATGACACTTAAATAGCAAATATGTGACTGAGCCCTTTTTTAGGAGAGATAACGCCGAATTCGCGAATGATGCACCAACACAACATTGGACATCTCGTAAAATATTCATGAATCATATTTTATTTGCTTCCTTCGAGTATGATACAAGCAGTTCGGCAAATATCAAAGGTAATCAGAATATAAAGAAAATAATGTTTGAAATGTGTTTTTGTACTTAATACCGATTTAAAACAAAAATCCCACAAAAAAATGTTAGTCAGGTCGTCATTTTCATTAATGATTTAAAATTGTAAACATATTCCTGGAAATATTTGTAATGATAGTTGTATAATGTCATAGTTGCCGTAAGGGTTTATTTACGGTAAAATATTTTGGTCCGTATACTTACCCTGTTACTCGTTTTGGTCATAGCTTTGCACAGATTCGGCGTTTACTGTATATACGAGGGTTGTCCAAACAATTCGTGCACTGCAGTTATTGTCGTGAGAGTTCTTGATAGAAAAACAAGAATTATATATCACTTGAAGGGGAAATCTGTCTCAAATAAGAAAACAAAAGAAAAAAAAACGTGTAACCGGCATGTCGTGAAAACAAATCGTCATACAGTTACCTTATTAACGTTATACCGGTGCACGACAAAAAATGGCTTAGTTCATTACGTTGATGCATTACGGTATTCTTTAAACACCACATAATATAAACGTCAAAATTCAGGGAAAAGTGTGTGTACGTATTCCTAACGTCACTAGAAAATATGACGTCATTTGCCCTATTTGTAACGGTCGTAAACAAACATTTGTGTGTGGTCGTCAATACTGTAATTACGTGAAAATGTCAGTCGCTTAACGTCTGGAAATACGGAAGATAAAACACCAACAGATACCTACAAAGAACTTAATAGGGCAAGCGGGACAAGTTCAGGGCCACGAAGGCTGGTTTTCAAATAACACAAACGCTCTGTAGAAGGGCGAGAGCCGGTAGACGATGACAACCGGTCAGGCAGACGTCCGTCCGTAATGCCGGCGCATGTGACGTCGGTTGTCCAATATTTTCGTGCACTGGTGGAATAAATTACAGGTACGTTGCATAAGATCAATGGAAACTACAAAATTCTTTGCATCAATCATTCCTCTATTGACAGTAAAACAAATTATAACATAAAAAGCAACTGCCACTTTACAAGCAACAAACAATTAATACAATTACAGTAATGAACTAACCCATTTTTGTCGTGCACCGGTATTACGTTTCTAAGGTAACTTAAAGACAATTTTTTTCACGACACGCACGGTTACTCGGTTTTTTCTTTTGTTTTCTTATTTAAGACAGATTTCCCCTTCAAGTGATATATAATTCATTTGTTTTTATTAATAACTCTCACGACAATAACTGCTGTGCACGAATTGTTTGGACAACCCTCGTACAGGGTGTTAATGCACGACTTTCTTGTACAATTTTACACATGTGCTTACTACATTTGTTATTCTGCATTCTTGTAACGTAACCAAGTCTGTTAAACAATGATGACATGCTTGCTGGAAGTGACAATTATGTTGTTTACAACCTGAGATCTATATTATTATTTCATTCGGCACATAGCGCTATGTATGAAACGTAATGATAAATTCCAACATTTCGGGACTGCATGTCAACACAGGTTTGTAACAAAACAAAATACAATGTACAAGATGTTGCTACATACTATGTAAGCATAAAAGTTGAACACGTCAACGTCTCATTTTGATACTGGACTCGGTCCCTTTCGTTGTTTGAATAAAAAAACGACAAGGTGAAATGTGATATTATGTTGTATATTAAAGTTTCAGTCAGTCAAATAAAAATATGTTACAAACATCATAACCTTAACAGTATTTAAGATATCACTGCCAGCAACCATGATATCATTGTCAACGAGCGTGATGGAAGTGTCAGCATGCATAATAAATGTACCTGTCAGCAGAACTGTACGCATTTTTACCTGAATTACATACATAACTACTGCACGAGGGATCACACTTTGTCCAGATAGATTTTTATACAACCACCAAAAATGCTATGCTCTTACCTCATTTATAATAACATATCATTTACGAAACCCCTAATAACAAGCTCCCTAATAGTCCCTATCCACGGGGGAGGAAGTGTTACACGAAGGATGGAGTTCTTATGATAACTTGTTTGGAGTTCTTATGATAACTGTCACGGAGTTTCTGGAAAACATTACGGATTTCTGTGGAAAACTTTTCTATATACTTTGAGAACTCACGTAAAAAATGGTCATTTTTACCTTTAAATGGGGAGTTTGAGGTGCTAAATTAAACTTTGATAATTAAGCTTGCCCTACGTATTATATTATGTTTCAGAAAAACCTTTTAGTCCATTTTTCATCGTCTTTTTAAAAAAAATCTGGTAGTTTTGAATAAAATTTCCAAATTACTTGCTCATTCGTACATACTGACCTTTTCATTTGTGATCTTCTTCGTTGCTATATTTAATTACCTAATGATAATGGAGAGTTGTAAACATAAAGCCCAGGCTAAAAAAAATTATACCCTATTTTTCAAATGTCACGGAGTTCTTGTGATAACCCAAAATATGTCCTGGAGTTCTTATGATAACTTTTGTTACTGCCAGTGTGTTTCTTGTGCTTAATTACGATACGTTTACGCGTATTTTTTATTATTTAATAAGTGTTTAAATTATCATGAAACTTTATACTCTCAGCCTAACACAAAAATAGGTAATATATAATGTTGGTTTTGAGCGTGTTTTAATTAAAAAGATATTTTTCGAATAAAATTTGTGCGAACTCATATTTACATAATAAAACCGAACGAATGCACTAAATGTTTCTGTGTATATAAAGTTGTATGTCATAAGTTTCCTTTGAAATGTTAACGCTGAATTTACAGCAACTAAAGAGAAATATATAAGTCGCATAATCGTTATTATGATGACAAAGTAAAGTTAATATGCGGTACATGTATATAGCTTGGTGTGCACGTAAATTTTAGGTAACTGTCATTTTTTCAGGATTCGGCTGTCAGAAAACCCCAAATCTTTAAAGAATAGATTGAACATGAAAAAGTCTACAAAGGATAAACAGGTGAATTATGGGCTATCTTCAGGAAAACCTGAACCAGCGTTCACCTGTATTCAGCAGAAACATGGCTTAAACCTCCGAGCAAAAATTGTTAAAAACTTACATTTTTTTCTCAGTTACATGTTTTAAGCAATCGCCTTTCTTAAGCAGACAATATATAGTTGGGCTTCCCTCAAGAAGTGGCTAAGTAATTTGTATCATTTTATACCATAAACAACAAGTATATATCTGGGATACCCTTCACACCCATGCTCCCGAATCAATCGATCTCCTCAACAGATTTGCACGTGCCCTACGGGTTCGAGTGAAGGAAGTTCGACAATATATTTTTGTTATCAATTACAGCAAAAGTTTTCACTACTATGATTATATAGGGTGAAGAAAAATGTATGCAATAATTTTCAGCAATATGGAGATTTCTGTACGTCACGTGATGCTACATTGGATTTTATAGAGAAAGAAACGGCATGAACCTTATGGTGACTCACATATATTATTTAAGACTTACTTTCTTTTGTCATATCATTTTCATAGAACTTTATACGTTTCTATGACAAAATTGATACATTTTAGAAATTAAGATATCCATTGAATACCTAAAGATGACACACATCTCTTTAAATTTAGATAAAGGTACTTTCTATTTTGCTGCAAACCATTTACATGTAATTTGTTTCGGCAGACCAATAGCATAATTACTTAATGTTCTCTAAAACTGCAAGGAATAATGTATACATGAATAAATCATGCTTAAATTCAAAGAGTATTTTTATCCTGTAATTAAATGCTCTACATCAAGTATGTTTTCAGTCATTCCAATAAAATGAAAAAACAACAACAACAAACACAAACAAAAATACCCACACGAAACGGGGGTAAGAAAAATATCTCTTGAACTGAAATACGCTCAAAATCAACGTTATATAACCAAATGTGTGTGCAAATGATACGCGTACTATGTTTCATAATGATTTACACACGTATTGACTAATAAACTACGCTTAAATGTGCCGTAATTAAGCACAAGAAACACACTGGCAGTAACAAAAGTTATCATAAGAACTCCAGGACATATTTTGAGTTATCACAAGAACTTCGTGACATTTGAAAAGTCGGGTATAAATTTATTAGCCTGGGCTTTATGTTTGCAACTATGCCTTACAATTATGTATTTATGTATAGCAACGAAGAAGATCACAAATGAAAAGGTCAATATGTAAGAATGAGCAAGTAATTTGGAAATTTTATTCAAAACTACCAGATTTTTTTGTAAAAAGGCGATGAAAAATGGACTAAAAGGTTTTTCTGAAATATTATACAATATGAAGGGCAAGCTTAATTATCAAAGTTTAATTTAGCACCTCAAACTCCCCATTTAATGGTAAAAATGACCATTTTTTACATGAGTTCTCCAAGTTTATAGAAAAGTTTTCCACAGAAATCCGTAACGTTTTCCAGGAACTCCGTGACAGTTATCATAAGAACTCCAAACAAGTTATCATAAGAACTCCATCCATCGTGTAACACTTCCTCTCCCGTGCTATCTATCGGGAAAATAAATAAAGCTTGATTTTAAATGAATTTTATATCTTTACTTATTAATCATAATTGTGATATGCCGATCCCCCTCTTTTAAAAACTGATATAACATGACTTTACTTGTATCTAGACTTAGTGTTTTATAACGTTTAGACGAAAGTATTTGAAACATTGATAAAATTATTTCTAAAATGGATTTGAAATAATATTTACCTCCAACGTTTACATATGAAGTCCCAGAATCATGTGTGTCTTCCAGTGTTGTTGATGAGTCTAATAAATAGCAGTTTTGATCTGTTATGTTGTAAACAACAGCGACGCATTCCTTTTCTTGGAGACAATGTGTAATACATTGGGATATACTTACTGCCTTACGTGGTGATGACATGTCTGGGATTGTTTTTCCTGCAACGAGCTCGAATCGTTTATAATACTGTTCCATATATACAAAACTAAAAGATAAGCACAGGCACGCACATTTAATGAAATACAACATTTTCGGAAATGACAAAAGAATGCTTAGTGTATGTCTTTAACGGTATCAGGTTTGATTGGAAATGAAAGAGTTGATCAATGTGTATGCAGAACATGCGTTCTTATATGAATATACGAGTCCCTAAAAGGCTGGTGTTTACAATCCAATGGTTATTCATCCCCTTTCACCCCATTATGCTTACAGTATTAATACGTTAATGGTGATTTATTTATTTAATCCACAACGGGAAATTGCAAAGGAAATGTAATAATGTCATATTAGTAAAAATACGAACGTTACATTTAAAATATTGATTAACTACTTAAACAATGATATTTCATTCTTGTAATTACTAATTTTGACAGGAAACTATTAACATTATAAAAGCTTTTTAAGGACAAATTGAACCAATTCTTATTTGTAAATGATTGAGTCTCTTACTATGAACAGATTACGGATTTTTAAAATACAATAGCGTACTCGGGTTTATTTTTCTTGATATTAAAGTTAAATTCACGTCAATTAAACCACCTAATCGATGTCATATCGATGTCTTGTCATTGACTTATTTTATATTTTTGTCATTTTGCGAAAATCGCACTGCAGTTACTTTTGATTGTTTAACTATATAAAGATAAATATTTCTGTGTATTTAGGAGACTACATGTATATGACCTATTCACCTTTCAAAAAGTATTCATGTATATACAAACAAAAAGCTAACTCCAATTATATACTACAAATTTTCTTCATAGAAAAATGTAAAGGTCATTTATACATTCTTATTGCGGCATTGCGGTTCTTTGTCAAATATCTAAGCAAAATTATTCGCTAGAAATAAAAATAAAATCATTTGTATGCTTAGTGGGAATTCAACACACTGTAATAAAATCATTTGTATGCTTAGTAGGAATTCAACACACTGTAATAAAATCATTTGTATGCTTAGTGGGAATTCAA